CAGTGGTTCTGGTGTCTATAGACATCTCAATGTACATTGCTGCCTTGTTGCACCTCTAGTGACAGTCACTCAGATGGAAACTATAGGTGATTCCTAGTCCAGAAATAGAGACACAGAGGACACACTCTGCATGGAGGTGCTGAATGTTCCCCAGAGAGATACATTGATTCAGTGTATGTCTATGAGGAGATGCTGATTAGCACTTGCGCAATAGCCTCCCTAAACAGGCGCACTCAATGACAAACAGACACACACTCACTGATTTGACATATACTCACAGAAACACACATACTTACTGACAGACACACACTTACTAGCAGACACATACTCACTGACAGACACTGCCTTGTTGCACCTCTAGTGACAGTCACTCTGATGGAAACTATAGGTGATTCCTAGTCCAGAAATAGAGACACAGAGGACACACTCTGCATGGAGGTGCTGAATGTTCCCCAGAGAGATACATTGATTCAGTGTATGTCTATGAGGAGATGCTGATTAGCGCTTGCGCAATAGCCTCCCTAAACAGGCGCACTCAATGACAAACAGACACACACTACTGATTTGACATATACTCACAGAAACACACATACTTACTGACAGACACACACTTACTAGCAGACACATACTCACTGACAGACACACACACACACACACACTCATTAGCTGACACACACACACACACCGTGATACTGACATCTCACACACATTTTCTCATACACTCACATTATTGTTATTTTTTTCAAGTTAAGTTCACTCAGTCTCCCTACCTTTGGAAGAGCTGGAGTGGATCCTTTCCGTGGGGTCCAGTGGAAATCCTGTAATCTTCAATTTCTGCTTGATCTGCTCCCTTGCGCTCTGGCTGAAGTGACATCATATCCATGATCCAAGCATGACTGCAGGGTTGCGAGGGAGCAGAGCTAGAAGAGCTTAAAAAATAGTGCTCCCTCGTCACCCGGCTCCATTCTCCCTGCATTGTCCCTCAGCTGGATGTAAGAGACACACAAGAGGGGGGTAAAGACACACAAATTGGCTGGGGGGAAGTAAGAGATACATGTAGGGGCTGAAGGAAGCAAGAGACACACAAATGGGCTGGAGGGAAGTTAGAGGCAGACAAAGGGACAGGGAGAAGTAAGAGACACAAAGAGGCTGGGGGATAAAGAGACACACAAAGGGGCTGAAGGAAGTAAGGGACAGACAAAGGGGTGGGGAAAGACACACAAAGATACTAAGTAGCCGAAGGTAGTAAAAGACACACATTGGGGTTTGGGAGTAAGTGAGAGACACGCAAAGGGACTAGAGGAGGTAAATGCACACAAAGGGGAGGGGAAGAGACACACAAGGGAGGTTGTAAGAGACATACAAAGAGGAAAAAAAGGAGGTAAGACATTAGAAAGAGGGGATAAGAAACACAAAACTGGGTATGAAATTCAAAAGAGGGGTGGGTTAGAGACACACAGGTGAAGATGCTTTTTTTTAGGGTGGCAGGAAAATTAATCTTCGTCTGTATAGCCAAAAAGCCTTGCATCAGCCCTGTATACAAACTTGCAATCCTGACAGAGAGGAGGTCTAGTCCAACCAAGCAAGAATCATTAAAAAGATTAGTAGAAAGATAGTCCTACTAGTCATATGTAACATTAAATTCTCCTGCATGGAAACTTTTGGGAAGCCATCATATAACTCCAAGGCAACAACACTGGTTGTGTGTCAGAGTATACCAAACTATGGCTAATAATAAGAGTTCTAAGAAACATAATGTAAATGGAAATTACTGTAAACCAAGGTAAATTCAAGTTACTTTATTTAATGCCATTTCACAAGAGAAAGATGGGTGTTCAATTTACACATCTTTAAGACACATGCTCTGTTAAATTTGGAGTATTCTTGAGATGGCCTGTTATATATTTGTAGATTAAAAATAGTAATTACGAATGGGAATTGTCTGCGACGAGGAAAGAAATTATTATCATGTGCAACAATGATAACCCGAATTTAGAGAGTTATCTGAAGAGAAGGAGGAGGACAGATGTTAACATGGTCTGATTCATTATAGTTATATGGCCAAACACTAGACATTGATAATACACAATAAGATCATGCAAGATGTATGGTAGGAACAGATACCAATTACGACAGCTGTTCTGCTCAGAAAGTTAACAATTACAAAATGGTGCAAATCCTTAATCAATGAATTCAACTAGAAGGAGATTGTAATTAGTTGTACTTAAACGTTTTTCGATATTTCAATAGTCTGTTAAAGCGGCAACATTTAAAGGGCGGCTAACGGAACCTTATCTCAATGAAGGGGTGTAGGTGCAGTGGTCTTTTAGTTTTTAATGTAACACAATAGGGTTAGGAATATTAATTCTGCCTAAATAAAAAAATGGAATAAAAAATGTTTTACTCGCCTTTTTTCCAGTGTCGAGATTCAGTCCCTGCAACCGCTCGATACACCTCCCGCGACAACACCTAGACTCTTCTTTATTGTGCAAACCAATGCTCCTCACTTTGAATTTCTGTCAATTCTCTTCTAACATGTCTCACTTTAGTGATTAATCCTGACAATATGAAAATACTGTATCATTTTGTAAATTTAAAATAAAATATGAATTTTGTTGAAGTGGTTATAGTGCCTGGTGTTCCCTGATGCTGTCCCTGCATTTAGCGTTAAATTAAACATATAAATGTGAGCCTTTGCAAGCCTACTGCCTTGCCCTTTAGCATCAGCCTTAGCGTAAGCAGTAATACGCACCACCTATTATCATTTTGGAGCGTCAGCTGGCTGGTATCCACTTTCACAGCCACCTAGCGTTGGTATAAATTGGTGTGGCTAAGTGTAATCTCTGTCTTTGCTATATCTCCGGTTGGAACAGCAATGTGAGAACCCAAGAACTGTCATTTGGTGTCAAACAGTTTCAGAGCAGAACTAGGGGACTCCAACCTCAATGAAATTAAGTGGTTATAGTGCATTGAGTGCCCCTTTAATTTCTTTTAAATGGACACATATATCAACAAATAGTCCCTTCATAATTCATATTGACCCTTAAAAGATTACAACATATTGTATTTTATTACGATATTGCATTTTACGTCACCACGTTCCTATCAGTATTGTCCACTAGGTGTCACTGTGCAGTCAATTTTTACAGGTCTTGAACCTGTACACCTGTTGCTTCGTATGGTAATTTCTATTATTGATGGTGGTTTTAGCTATTACAGAAAGCAGACCGAGACTTAACACTAATGACATTAACGTTCTCATTAATTTACCTATTACTAATGCCGGTCACACTTTCTGTGTTTTATTAAACACAGCTAAAAACTAATAAATGCAAAATACAATCTGTACCAAAATAACATTTACATTTTATATAGAAAACAAATCAATGCTATTTAAAGCAATCATTTAACAATTCCATGCTATATTTTAGAGATTAATTGCAACCTGACTATTTTAGCTTCATTTTGTGGCATATCTGTCAATTCAACATAACTCGCGATTTAATAATCAAATATTACTTAAATATTGCTCAATAATGCCTAAGGATAGGTAAAGTGTCTGTTGATGTATTTTTTTGAAATGTTATTTTGTTCCCAGCAAATTAACATTATAAATTGTTATGCTTTGCATTTTTATTTTATTAGCAATTGATGAGGATAGAATCTTCACATAATAATAATAGCAAAAACAAGATAAATGATTTTAATAAATCTAGCAGTACTGGTTTGTTTTACATCCATTTCTGTCCTGAATTCTTCAGGGAGTTTAAAGTGAACCTGTAATGGAAAAATGACAACTTAATCACTTCAATATAGATAGAATATATTATATATCATAAAGATACATGGTGTATTCAATGTAAAATATAAAGATTTACTCACTTTTCCTCTGTTACAGTGATGCTTCGTGAGTCTTACTCTTCACGCAACACCTGCCTCCTGTGCGCCGCCTCTTCTTTGAGTTGTCCTGCTTGGGACGCATCCACAAATAGGATAAATCTCGTCCAGGGCCGGCGCATCCTATTGGCCAAGTAGGCGGCCGCCTAGGGTGCTGCTTAAAGGGGGGCGCCAGCTGGAGCTTTACTGCTCTGCCCATTTCGCCGCCCCTCTATGTTTTAATAATTCTAAAAATCGTGCCGCCGGCCATGTTACCGGGCGCTAGGGACACTTATACGTCTGCTGACTAGCACCCGGTGTAACACTGGTCCGGCGGCACCCACTTCAGCCTGCTCAGCCTGGCCCCCAGAAGCACTCCCATTGCCCTGGGGACAAGTGTGCGGGAGCATAGCAGGGGTGTGGCTGACACGCAGTGAAAGCGGCCAGGCACCGGGAAGCGGCCAGGAACACGTGACAAGCAGTCAAATATTAAGTAATGTAAGTGGGTCAATGGGGAATGTGTATTTGTGAAGAATTTGTGTATGTCAGTCTGTGTGGGTCAGTGTTTGTCTATATGGGTCAGTGTGTGTCTTTATGGGTCAGTGTTTATCTGTATGGGTCAGTGTGTGTGCGTGCTAATCTGCATTCATCAGTGAGTGTGCGTCCGTCTGCGTGGGTCAGTGTATGTCAGTTTGCATGAGTGATTGGAGCAAATGGGGCGGCAAAAATCCTTGCACCGGCCCTGATCTCGTCATTGACATTGTTGCCAGCATGCAGGCATCGGAATGTAATGACGTCACATGACTCTGTTCCTGTACTTCTAGCACCGGCTAGGCAATTTCCATAGCAATCTCAGCACACGCGCTATGACTGATATGGAAGGATTGCAAAGGGTCCTCCTTTGGGAGATATTTTCTGCTCTCCCCACTGAGACATTACCTGACAGCTAGGAGGGAAAAAAAATATTTTTAAATAGGTTTTGCTCCTAATCTAGACATTTGCTAGTAAAACTGCTAGCACAAGCATAGATAATATGTTATGCTCAATCTAATGAGCAAATGTTGTTTGGGGCATGACAGGTGCTCTTTAATAAAAAAGAAACAAAACAAATAATGTATGTGAACAGCAGGTGGCAGCAGTGAGTCTGCAACGGAGAGATCGACACCGTTCAAAAGCAAGTGGCACAAGACGGCAAAAAAAAATAAAATAAACCACTTTAATCAAAGCATTAGAATCAGCAAGTGATGGAGGGAGGACCCCGTTGACAGAGGCAGACTCACAATGACCCCCGAAATATGCAATCTACATCTGATGTAAAAAGCACCACACAACTAGTTCGAAGAGACCTGTCTGCTCAAGTAAAGTCTAACCATGAACGAGAAGGAGGGTCGATCGGCTCTGTGCTGATCAGCTAAACAAGTCAAGTTCTTTTTTTTTTCTTGTGTAATTTTATTTATTTATTTATTTTTCTTTTTTGAGGGCAAAGAGAGAAGAGAATCGTCATGTTCAGGCAAAACTGTGAACTGATGGCAGTTTGAGTGAAGATGGCGTATGTACAGGTAGGTGCTGTCTGCACTGTTATATTGGGTTTTGAATTCGAGGAAATATTTTTTTATTTTTTTTTCTTGCTCCAAGAGCTTACATGTCCCTACTTTCTGATAAAGTAACTAACTGGAAGATGCTTTGTCGAAGCACAAAAGAAGGATTATAGTAGACGATGCTACAAAGAGATTAACAGATGGTCTGCTTCGTAAAAACACAATATTGTAGAGAAAAGACAGAGCACGAAGAATGAGATTAGATGAGATAGAGCTAGAGATATAGTGTAGTGTCTTACTATCAATAACTGTGTTTACTGAACTCTACACACTAACGTTCTATTATCTTCTACATCGTTTTTCTGCTTTTTAACTCCAACTTTTCTGTTGTAGAATATAGGCAAATGGGTATTTTATTATCAAAGATAATTGTATCTCATATAGTAAATTCAGATCATAGTATATCACAGATATTAAGAACATTGTATGCAGTCTCAGAGGGCAAAAAGCCAGGATTATTATCGAATAAATTACAAACTACAACTGCAGAGCATCTGCTCAGCTAATCTCTTTTGTTTTATATTAATATTTTGCAGCCAGCAGACAGAAAATGAGGCTTGACGTGTAAATAGCTTCTTAAGTCAATAATTATTTTTCCAGTTCAAAGAGTTAACCTTTGGAGTGCCAGGGGATTGCTTGTACACCGCTGTGGTGCTCACAAGAGGGGCCCCTTTGAAAGAGACAGTTAGGGTAGCAGCATATTGTACTGTGAAGGGGTTAAAGTGAGATTTTATTATAAAACTAATTGTTATAAATGCATATTTTTTATTTGTTTATTGTAAAAAAAAAAAAAAAAGAATCGAACCCCGGAAACGAATGTTAATTGTATTATTTTTTTTCTCACAAGACTAATAGAGCTGTGATACATTTGTGCCTGTCGGTTCCAATAAACATTGCACGGGGACATTATTCCTGATTTGTGTCACTAGTTTTCATCTATGATGGGTGGGGCTCAGAGTTTGAGTGGAAGTGATATTGATGCACAAACAGTGGACGGTGATTGAAGATCAACAGTTGTATATGACGGCCGATCATCAGTAAAACTTGTTATGAAATTATGCGTTTTCGTGTTTGGAACCCAGTCGCCACAGCTCAGCCTTCATTAACAAATATAGCAGAGAATTGCACTGTGAGATTTAGTTAGTAAACACTGAATTGAAGTCGAACTGCACAATTTAAGCCATTGTAGCTGATTTGAAATGGATTTAAATTTTGCAATTCATTTTAAATTCTCTACAGGTTGATGTTTAGTGATTAAAAATGTATAACGTGGGGTAGGTGAACCACTCACTCAAAGTAGGCGGTCCCCACTCCACTTGAGAGGACCTCCAGGAATGAAAATATCATTGTAGTGGTATAAACCTTTATTGATCTATATAGCGAATCAGGAACTAATGAGTACAAAAATGAAATACAAAAATAAGTTTAAATGTGCAAACCCAAGTGATGTAGAAAAATCAAATAAACCATACTAGTACACCTTTAAAATCTGGGAGAGTTTGTCTCAAGTATCAAATTAATATATTAGAGGAACCTGTGTACATGCACAATAGATCCTTTAGTGGATTGGTAAACAAATGGTAACCTCTGAAATAAATAAATAGTAATTAGTTCTGAGAAATAGAGAGACTGTAGTAGAGTGTTAGTCTCGCATTATGTATCAGCTTCACTCTATTGTGAATGTTGAAGGATACATAAAATTGAACAAAGTTGCTCATATAATGTATATATTAAGTCCTTAACGATAGTAAATACACAATCCTGCGTTTAGCAGGTGCAGACAACACAATAAACCCCCATCCAGACAGCACATACCTTAAACCCACATGGACTCCAAGGTTGGAGGGGGTTAAATATCGATGTAGTTACTGAGTAGATGTACGTGTAATTGGGGGTAGCTGATTTACAAATACCCGCCAAAAGCTGAGTTATCACACATCTATCCCCCCGTAACTAATAGGTAGTACCCTCGTGCCTATAGTGGTAAAGACCAAGAGATAGTACCAAAACCCTCCAAGTCGAAAAAGGTCTAAGTCCTAATAAGGTTTATCCCACTACAATGATATTTTAATTCCTGGAGGTCCTCTCAAGTGGAGTGGGGACCGCCTACTTTGAGTGAGTGGTTCTCTCACTCCACTTTATAAAAATGTTTTCTCTCTCTAGTATATCCAGGGTTCGTGCCCTTGAGTACCTCCATAACCTTCTCTGGGGTTCAATGTTGACTAGTTCAACATTGTAGCCTACCCTTTTTTTCCTTTCTACGTTTAGTGATTAAAACCCTATGTTTACAAGCTAACTTTACTTTGTGATTTAATCACTAGACACATAATTGCAGTGAAATGAAAATAGAATTGCAGACCAATTACCCTGTCACAAACAGCTTTTGCTAACTAACGATAAGACAATTTACCTTTCTGTATTCCGTCACCACAAACCTTGTTTTTGCTAAGAACAGAAGATGACAGTTTATATTGTGGACACAGTGACCACAAACCAATCTTTGATAACAACACATTAATGGCAGTTTCAATTTGTGCGCCCCGTCCCCAGAGAACTACCTTAAGGACACCAGACGATCACAATTGCACATTGTGTACTCAGTCACCACAGAGCCGGGTTTTATAAACAACAGATGACAGTTTCAGTTTCAGTTTTGTGTACTCTGTCACCACAAGTCAGCCTTACTAACAACAAAATATGACAATTTCTCATTATGTACTCAGTCACCACAGAACAACCCTAAAGAGCCGGGAAAACACTGTGTTATTAGTTTGCATGCCCAGTCATTACAACACAACCTTTAGAGAACAAAAAAAAATGGTTTATCTTTTTATTGCTGGTTACTTGATTGCTAATTTTTCAGCAACATTATGTACATATTTGTTAAATAAATATTGTTTACACAAACTTGGCATTTTAATTAGCTACAACTGAACGGTAATTATTTTTAAAAAAAATAAAAAATTAAAAGGTGTGCCTACCCTAAAAATGATTCAAATGGGCTCTGTTACGTCAATATACCTTTTTTTAGGTCCACCCACAACTAGACCACTACTATCCCCCCCAATTTAATTATGTATTTAAATTTCCTCCCCAAATCATCCTATATTCTTCATGGTGCCGGATCTTTATTCCAGACACCGTCATCTTCTAATTACTGGCAATGACGCAACATTGCTGCCTTCTTTTGGCCAGAGTACACAACGATATCAAATTCCCATGCATGGTCAATAGAGACCAGTACTATGCGGTCATGTGGGAAGGTGATCTTGCAAGACAATATAGAGAAAAGACTGGGATGGAAAGGTGAGTATTGGGAGAAAAGTTTACTTAAAGTGGCACTGTCATGCTGAACTTATATTTCTCCTATTGTTTCCTCTTATCTTCCTCTCTCAAGATCTGTTCTTTTCTTTATTTCTGATCTAATTTTCTTTAAAACATAAGAAAAAATAGGGACTACTTTGTCTTACATATTTTGCCTGTGCCTGACTTTCTCTGACCCAAGGAGAAGTAAGCTCCTTTTCCTGTGTCAGAAAAAGTACTCACCCTTCTCCTTGACACAGGAAATGGAGCTGACGTAAGCTCCTTCTTGGTTCAGAGAAAGTCAGGTGTAGGAAAAATACGTAACACAAAGTAGCCCCTAATTTGTCTTGTGTTTTATAGAAAACTAGATCAGAAATAAAGAATAGAAGAACAGATTCTGAGAGAAGAAGAGGAGAGGAAATAATAGGAGAAAGGTAAGTTTGGCATGACAGTTCCGTTTTATCAAAGGAAGTGGAGCTTCCTTAAGCTCCTCCTTTTGGTCAAGATTGTCAAACGGAGGACAAATACATAAGGCAAAGTAGTCCTTTTGTCTTATGTTTTTTAAGAGAAATAGATCAGAGAGGAGAAAAAGAAGAATGGATTCTGATAGAGAAAAGGAAGAGGAAACAATGGGAAAAGGTAAGTTTGGGGTGACGGAGCCACTTTAATTTAGGAATAGGGAAATAATGTTGAATCAAAACATTTATTTGAGGGCAAAGTATAGGAAAATACTAAAAGAAAACACAAATGTGTACAAGGGAGCTAAAACTGCACATTCATTATTTGGTACAGTCTTGGAGCTTGTAGTTAGTCATTGCCAAGCAACTATCTAACCATAATCAAATGTAATCTAATCTGTAACTGAGCCTGTAATGTCAGAGAGGCTCCGAGAGCGTCTGTTTCACTGATTCCCTAAGACAATGATCGTGAGTATTTCTAAATGCATGTAAACCCAGATTGTTTTGCTTTTTTTAACCAGGGACATAGACCGGCTCATTATATTTTTGTATGCAATGTTACTTTGTTTTAGATATTGAATAAATCACTTCTACGCGGATTTGTAGGAAGGAATATACTGAATATCTGTCTTTATAGCAGAGCGAGATAATTGCAGTTTTTCCATGCAATATGTAGAAAAAAAAAATCACAATATTTTGACTATGCTGTCTACTGTTCAGATCCTATTGCAATCATCCTATTTGTGCAGCTCCCGTGGATATCTGCCTGTCATTTATCGCTGTAAGAATAAATAGATCGAATAAATGGGTATTGGAGCTGGATAATTTAATACTCACAATAAGATTTAAAATTGTTGTGGCTCCTGGCTGGGATGTATGTATATATTATTGAATAGAAGACAATTTGTTGGTTTCTCAACAATATGCGTTTACATGATTGCTCTGGGGGAGCAGGGGTTAATCCAAGATGATTTCTGAGAAAAGCAGATATTACATTATGTTGTGGAAATCACTTGTCATCTTGGGGAGAAGATTCCATTTTTATATTTAGTCAAGGTTCTGGCATACAGTGATTGTAGTGTCTCTTTTTCAAACTCTTCTGTTAAAATATCTTACATTTTGATAAGTGTGATCTCAGAAAAGTGTTCCTTAATGCTTGATATCTTGTCCTTCATGGCTTTTTACTGGGTGCAGTCAGAGTCCCCTTTATTCTTGCTTCCTTGTGATGATTCCTGGAGAATCGATTGAAGGTGCAAGAGATGACCTCATTAGGTGCTGGTCTTTACTTTAGTGGAGAAATAAGTAGAGTGAGGAACATTGAGAAACATGTGGAGAGGGGACCAGTGAGAAGCAAGAGGAAGGGGAACAATGAGAAACAAGGAGGAACACATGGAAAGGGGGCAGTGAGGAACTAGTGAAAAGAGGAACATGGAGGAACATATGGAGAGAGGATATGTCATGATAAATACCCAAACACTGCGATAGTTGTATTATTGCATCTTAGAATGGGCTTAACCTATAAAACAAAGAGAGACAGAGTCCAATTACTAGCCAAGGTCAGGGTTACAGATAGGCGGATAAACTATAGGTACTAGAAAGGTCAGAGATACAGATAATCAGAAAATATAGAACAAGTCGGGTCAAGAACGCAGAGGCACTCAATATTCCTATAAACAAGCCAAGGTCAAAACCAGTAAACACACAGAAGACTTAAGAAACGCACTGATGGGAGCTGATGCAAACAATCCCAAACCAGAAGTGATGTTACACAAATTGTCATCACTTAAGGACATGCACTTATAGCAGGCAGTGTCCAAATTGGCCTGCTGAAGCAGCTTGTGGGTCTGAACAGCGCATTCCATGTGCATGACCTGCTAGAAACACGGAACTGGTGGCATTGATCGGGTAAGAATTGTTACTGGATAGTGGGGAACAAGTGGAAAGGGGATCCATTAGGAACATATGGAGAGGGAACAGTGAGGAACAAGTAGAGCTGGGAACAAAGAGGAACATATGAGAGGGGACAGTAAGAATCAATTGGAAAGGGAAAAAGGGAAGAACATATGGAGTGGGGATAGTGAGGAACAAGTGGGCAGAAGAAAACAATGAAGAGGGGAACAAAGATGAACATATGGAAAGAGTATAGTGAGGAACATGGGGAGAGGAACAAATAGAGAGGTAACAGTGAGCATCAAGTTGAGAGGGCACAGTGAGGTACAAATGGAGAGAGATCAGTGAGCAACCGTCACGGCCCCCGGCTCGCCGCCATGTGCGTCCGTGCCCGACCGGCACGACCTGCACCTATTCACTGAGCTTACCTGCTCAGCGGCAAGCTGGGAACCGCTCCTCCATGCCGCTCGGTGAAATCCATGATGGCGCCGACCATGAAGTCGCGTCCATCCATGGCTCTACCCCCAATATTATACGAACGTGCGCGCGACGACGTCACAACGTCAACGCACGCACACGTTCTGGGGTCAGAGGTCACCCTCTGACCAATCAGAGCCTAGAGAGGGATATTTAAATCCCTAATTCACTCCAGTTCCTTGCCCTGTTGTGGTTTCCTGTTCCTAGTTCCCTAGAGTGCGTTTATCTTTGTGAATATTACTCCCTGGTATCCTGATCTTGGCTTTTCCCTGGTTATTCCGAATTCTGGTTCCCCTGACTTGGCTTGTTTAAACGGTATCTGAGTATTTCTGGCTTCGTTGACCTCGGCTTTCTCTTTGATCATTCTCTATCTCTAGCTATTAGTCCGGCCATTCTAAGGTCCAGTTTACGCTCTGTCCTTTTATTTCCTTTCCTTTTTTTATGTATATGTTTACATAGTTTCTGCGTGTTGGACCACACTAGCAGCCGTGACAGCAACTTGTGGAGAGGGGGACACTGAGGAGTGAATGAAAAGTGAAACAGGAAAGAGTGTAAAGGGAGCAGTGAATAACAAGTGTAGAAGGTTTTTTTATTTTTATCACACTTTTATCACACTTGATCACCAGGGATAATTAAAATGTGTTGCAGGGCCTCCAGCTTACTATCAACATTATAAATGTTGATTATAAATATACAAATGACTGAGAGGTGCTTTAATCTTGGAGAGTGTTTTGGGATATGGTTTAGGTTTGTTTCCATGATTGAAAATCTTTCATGACCAAATGAATGCTGTTGGCTTGTGGGGAAATAGCATCTTAGCTGTCACTAAGATGTCCAACACTGCACATCCATCTCTTTAATGAAGTTTCCACAACTATTCCTGTGCCTCTCCGCATGCATAATTTTCTGGAACAATCTATTATTTAACATTGACTTCACTTGGAGAGGTCTATATAAAACTGTTCCTCACATTGGTCTGGACCTTTCTTCTCCTTAATGGTGTGCACTTACAATGTATGTATTTTTGTAGAGACATACCTTTTTCTCTGTTTACTGTGACTTCTGTACATATGTTTTGTTTTCATTCTTCTATATTTGCTGCTCATACTGATGGTTTGGTTAGCGTAATAGGTCACTTTAGTCACCAAAACAACTTAAAAGGACACTATAGTCACCACGTTGGCTTACCTCGTGTCCGCCTAAATCACCTTAGTGCAGACTGAACTGTTGGGTCGTCGGTCCATGACCGAGGGCCTGACAGTGAGAGAGGGTCCGGTAGCTTGCCCAGTATGCTGCAGAGTGCGAGGCCCCTCCACATGGTCTGCCAGTGCAGAACTGCAGATCATGTGATGTGGTTCTCGTAAGCTCACAGAGCATTGCCACGGGTTACCACTGCAACACTCTGACCGGAGCTTGTGAGAACGAGGTCTGCAGCTCTGTGTTTGGCGGAGCTGCAGACAGGATAGTTATCCCACTGGATCACCAGGGACTGCGACCACTTGACCACCAGGGACTGCAACCACCGGACCACAGGACCACCAGGGACTTACATAAAAAAGGTATTTCAGTGTGTGGAGGCTTGTCACAGCCTCCACACTCCTTGCCCCCACACTGCCCCCACATATACTGCCCCCCACACACCCTGCCCCCTCACACTGACCCCCACATATCCTGCTCTCCCACACTGACCCCTAAACAACCTGCCCCCCATGTACCCTACCCCACATACACTGCCCCCCACATACCCGGCCCCCCACACTGCCGCCCACATACCCTGCCCCTCCACAGTCATACACCCTGCCCCAGCACACTGTCATACACCCTGCCCCCCTACAATGTTATACACCCTGCCTCCCACACTGTCATACATTCTGTCCCCCACACTGTCATACACCCTGCACCCTATACTGTCACACACCTTGCCTCCCCACGCTGTCATAATCCTCCACACACCCCCACACTGTCACCTTCTTTCACACTGCCCCCCAAATCTGTCACCTTCCTCCACACTGTCACTCACCCACAACCTTCCCCACAAACTGTCACCTTCCTCCACACTGTCACCCTTCCACACACTGCCCCCCCATGTTGTCAGTCCCCAACATTGTCACCGATACATACAGTCACCCCTCCTAAACACTGCCCCCCACACTGTCACCAACACACAAACTGTCACCGCTCCCACACACTGCCCCTGCACACACTGGCACCCTCCAACAGACTGTCACCCTCCCAACACTGCCCCACACATTCTCACTTACCCACTGTCACAATTCCACGCACATACAGTCATCCCCCACACTTTCACCCTCCAACACACACACTGTCACCCCCCACATGCTGTAATGCCCTCTTCACCCACACACACTCACATTAACCTCTCCTAATCTTGTCAATCTCACCCCCTACCACAATTACCTGCCCTTGCTCTTCCACATTCACCCTGTCACATTAACGCCTCTTATCCTGTCACACTTTCTTCCCTTCAACCTGTCACACTCACCCTGTCACATTAACGCCACTAATCCTGTCACACTTTCTTCCCCTTAATGTGTCACACTCCATCCCTCAACCATGTCACACTCACCACCCAACCCTGTCTCATTAAGCCCCTCACCCAGACACAGTTACCCCTCTGCGCACCCTGTCACACCCTGAATACATTGATCATACACACAATCATGGTCACAGGCACCCCCCCTCCAAACACACAACCAACAGCAGTCAGCTACCTCATACACATACAGTTCCATAAACAAACGTACGCATGCTCGCAGAGACCTACATTCACAAACAAGGAATGTTAAAGGATTATATAATGTGTGGGGGAAATGTCTGTGAGTTTTCTTATCTGTATTTTTATTATTTTGTAGGTGATTATTTTAAAAGCTTTTTTTTTTACCCAATCAAAATTTTAATTTCTGTTTGCAATAACCCCTGCACACAGGCACTTCTGTATACATGACTGACAGGCTATGCAACCATACACGGCAATCATGTATAAACAATCAGCATCACTGCAAATTAAATGTTTGCAAATTATGCCATAACTACAGTCAGAGAGCTCACAACACAGCGTCACAGGGAGCCGCGACAATGCAAGCCTCTGAACAATGAATAAATGAAACCAGCGCTGCAAGCCTGTCTTTAAATACAACTACAGCTCATTATACACACACATTGCAACCCCTATATATTTTTTTTACTATAAGTTTTAGTGGGAGCCTCATGTTTGAGTTTGGCCTAAGGCCTCACAAAGTCTAGAGCCGCCACTTGGGGGCGGAGCCTAACTGTGAAGTTGTGCAGACGAGTGCTGAATGAGCTCTTGCACTTGGCACATTATTATCTTGATTTACTGCAGTCAGACTCTTTACCCACAAAATCGATTAGATCATAAAAGGGAATCTTTGGCATACTGATCGAGACCAGATTTGGTGATACCCTTGTCCAGAACGCCCACTGCGGCCTTTGTGCACGGACGGCAGGGGAGAGACAGCTGCTCTCAAAACGCAGAAACTGGCTAGCTTACTTCGACATCTCTATCATTGGATTCCCTTCTTGCACTTGTTTTTAAATCTTCATCCTATAGCACTCTAGTGTCCCCTTCTGTCCCTGTGGTGTCTTTTCTATTTACATTGCACTTCTATATTCATCCATACCCATACCTAGTAGCCACTTTTCCATATTATGTTTCTTCTGTCTCTAATTTTTCTTTTTATCTCATTCACCTTCGATTGCCTATATGTGCACATCTTGTGACTCCTAAGAAGTGAACCCTGCATTCAGGGCCGGTGCAAGGATTTTTGCCGCCCCAGGCAAAAAAAATAATTGCTGCCCCATTTGCTCCACCCACTCATGCAAACTGACATACACTGACCCAAACAGACTGATGCACACGCACTGACCCATGCAAACTGACCCACGCAGACTGACACACACACACTGACCCACACAGACACACACTGACCCATACAGACAAACACTGACCCATACAGACACACACTGACCCATATAGACAAACACTGACCCATACAGACTGACATACACAAATTTTTCACAAATACAGATTCCCCATTAACCCACTTACCTTTCTTAATATTTGACTGCTTGTCACGTGTTCCTGGCCGCTTCCCTGCGCCTGGCCGCCTTCATTGTGTGTCAGCCCCGCCCCTGCTATGATCCCACCCACTTGTCCCCACGTACAAGGCAAGGGACAGGAGCGAGGTATTAAAGCTCCATCGTGGCAATGGGAGTGCTTCTGGGGGGCCTGGCTGAGCAGGCTGAAGTGGGCGCCGCCAGACCAGTGTTACACCGGGTGCTAGTCAGCAGACATGTAAGTGTCCCTAGCGCCCAGTAACATGGCCGGCGGCACGGTTTTTAGAATTAGTAAAACATAGATTGGCGGCCAAATGAGCAGAGCAGTAAAGCTCCTGCCGGCGCTCCCCTTTAAACAGCACCCTAAGCGGCCATCTAGCTGGCTTATAAGAAGCGCCGGCCCTGCTTGCACTCACATCATGTGTAGACTTACGCAGTTTACATATTCCAGGTGGCAATGTTCAAGCACAAGTGATACAGTGTTCAGTTGTACTAACATTCTAATTAGAGGTCCATGGAGAAGGTTTACTCCAGACCACCATAGGACTTTTAGTACTGTCACAGCTGCATCCCTTGGGTTGGAGGGTCTGACTCTTATCACTATCAGCCATCACCCAAACTTCAGAGAACGCCATTGTTTGAAAACTTTGCAGCACCACTATTCTGCTGACTCGGGACGCCAAGCATTTCAAATAAGGTCTGGACTTTCTTATGGCTAAATTTGTGATTTTTAAAGGACGAATTATACATGACAGATGGAATGCTTTTTTCTTATATTTTTATATATATATTTAATATTGATTGAATAAAATGTATTTTTTAATATCAATCTTCAGTGTGTTAAATAAGGAGTTCATGGTATATTGATATCCCTTTTTTTCTGTCTTTTACATATATGTGGATCTATGTCATGAAGTGGACAACTTAAGAAATTTATTTGGGAAGCAAAAAATGGGTCGCAAGAGTATTTATTTGGGAAACCTTAACTGGACTTTTATTACATTTTCTCCACATTACTTGCTTTAATTACCTTTTTCTGTATTTTTTTTGTATTGCTTTGGATATAAGCAATTGGCTATATACAATGATTTAGAAGAGAAGGGTTTAATAGTTATTTTGTCAAGTATTGTATAGATTGTTAGGTTTCCTATTTTCATACCCTATTCTCATCTATCTTTATTTTCAATCAGCGCTCCACCATCAGCACTTTCTTTGCATCCCGTGGGTTGCCTGATTTACACCAGGAACTAAGCAAACGCAACTCTCGGTACTGGACCACTCCATAGAAGAGATGTTGTCACAGTGTGTCACCATGAAACAGTAGCTTTGCAATATATGCAATTAGTAATTTTTGTGTCTTAGTCAGATTAAGCCGCTCATATGAAAAGCAAATTCTGTTGCTCATTCCAAATATAAAAATCTTAACATATGTACAAGTCGAAAATTACATTTGAGGCGTAGGAGGAACGTTCCCAAAATTTCTTGTGACATTACAGACTAAGACAAACTGTCAGAATCGATTGCGTGGTGTAAACACTTCCATGCGAAGCTATGTGCTTTTAGAATTCACTATGCCTTTTTTATTATAAAATTATATATTATTAGATGGTACGTCTCAGCACTTGGTAGAAAGTGGTTGCAACTGCAGTTTGCTTCACAAAACTGACACAACTGTGACTCTCTTTAATCTAGTGTGGATTTTCAGAAATGCTCTTCCACCAATTGGTGAAAAAAATGCTATAGGACACCTTTCAACAAGGTGAGACAGACTGTTCTGACACATTTTAGGTGACTTATTAATAATTTAAGAAACGAAAGTGTATTAAGAACAAGAAAAATGCATCTAATTTACACTGGTTTCTAAACACATTTATTGTAGTTTAATGACGCAACACCGTGAGTATTATTGTTGTGGAGCTTTGTTTTACACACTAACACACCAACAATATAGAGTTTCTAGAAAAAAAAGAGACATTATGGTAGAAAACAGAGACAGAGGGATTTTCCAAAATAGGGACAGTCCCTCCTAAGTACGCTTGCAAGGTATGCTATAGGAATATTTAAAACCCCAATAAATGGACTCATAATTAACCTCACGCACATACTACACGTAATTTCGGGCTTGTCGAAAATGTCACCTACATATTTTGATGTTCAGACACACACATACATATTAGAGTAAAATGCATTAATTTAACTTTTAGTATCACAAAAATAAAGCAAATAGGTCCTGGAGCTGTAGAGAGCTTGCCTTCCTTGGCGATAGCCCAGATGATACACTATACAGATCTAAAATAGGACAGGCAGGGAATTAAAAAACGGTGTCCCCTGACTTTACCAGTGTACTATGTAATATGATCCTATAGCCCTGGGAACATTGTGCTCTCCCTTATGAGATATCTGATATTTAATTATATTACATTTTCCACCAGTTATTTGCCTTCTGCATGGTGGGTGATGTAATCTGTGTATTGTTCTCTAGAATGCATGGCTTGGCTGATTCAATTCAGTATGGAGTGCAAATTGTAGGGTAGCAACAGATCATAAATGTTCTAATTTGCTCTAGATTGGTGGTGGAATTCACAATCCTTGACAACAACTTTTATTTTTAGCTGATGCTAATTTAATTCAGCTCCTCTCCCTATTGATATTGCAGGAGAGGAGCTACGGAAACAGAAAAGACAAAATTCTGCCTCCTCAGTTCCTCTCGCAAAGCATTATTGGGAAAGGAGCTGCAGATAATGGCAAGAGCTGCAGATAATAGCTGTCTTCTGGAAGTTTAACTGACATCAATCTCAGACAGAAAGGGACATGTCTAAGATCGAAGAACACCTAACTTTATCCCTAACCCTAACTCGATCCCTAAAAAACATGCAATTTAAAGTATACGTAACGATCCAGAATATTTATTGGGGGGGAAATAATGACATCTTGGGGAAATCCATAAGTCACTCAGCTTTCAGTATCTTGATATAATATTATTTGTCCAAAACCTCAATGGCGTTATATAACCTTAGTACTCCGTTCACCTATGTATTTTATTGTTTGTGTTAATTATAGTACCTAAAGTATATTGCAAATATCATTTGTTACACTTTGTTAATGTGCATCAGTTAACTTATACTTTAATGTTACTGTATTTCCAAGGGTATCATGGGAAATTGTAGATTATACTAGCTTTAGTGTAACTATAATCTTAATTTTATTAATGACAGGAGGCGAATATTTGCTTAAGTCTCTCTTTACTAGAACTCCACAGCAGCACATTAACATAGAGAGAAAAACACCAGAGACAAAAAGTAAGGAATCCATAAAAGGCTCTTCCCAACCAACTATTTCCTCTTTCACGCTGCGACAAAATAAAGTACATGAACGATACACCACCAAAACAATAACAGGAAAAGCAAACATAGCATAACGATGAATGTCATCCGAAATAGAAAACGTGGAACCAGTGGATGAAGCCTTGACCTTTATCCTGTAGAATAGACGGATCTAAGTACTGTAGACGAACCATTAAGCTGAAACAAGGTAAAACAGAGTCGAAAACACTGATTAGTGAATGAAATGTACTGAGAAAAACAGGAATCCCCATCGTCAATACTGACCTTCTAATATCCCAGATACTGAGAAAAACATGAATCCCCATCATAAAATACTTACTGTACCATATCCCAGATAAACCCCAATTCGTCCAGATTAACAAATCTAGCCCAGGAGACCAGGTGAAAACAAAAAGTCAGTCAAACCAACAAACAAACAAGGGGAGGGAGAAACTGGGAGGGAAATATTTGCCTCCTGTCATTAATAAAATTAAGATTATAGTTACACTAAAGATAGTATAATCTACAATTTTATAACATGACAGGAGGCTTCATATTTGTTGTTTTAACGCTCAGACAGCAACGCCCAAATAAACACGATCCGCCGTACCAACCTAAATTTTGCAAAGATAGCTCCTCGTAACCGTCAGGAAAGTGTACCATATCTTGGAGAAAAGCGCCCACCATGACGGTGCCTGAAGTCGTCACGTACCGACTGAAATGAACCGAAAAGACCTATACGCCCCGCCAATGCCAACAACAACCGAGTGGTACATGAAGGGTGAAGAAAAGGAAAAAGAAACGTCTAAACAAACGGTGGCATCGAACGCCGCATAAAAAGAGGGGCGCGCAACTAAGATAAGAGTACAACCCTCGGGTCCGACTAGAACAACTAAGGCCCGAACCTCTGAACCCATCTGAAAGAAAACAAGGTATAATAGAGGAACAAATCCAGAGTCGGAGATGGACAAAAACTGACGAAAACCGTCAATCGAAGCATGACAAACAATGCGTGTACCACTTGAGGTGATGAATACCCGTCCTCGGGAATCATAAAGGACTCACACCCCTATGAACCCGCACGTCTAGCTTGAAGGGATATACTAAGCAGAGCGAGACCCGCCGAAATCAGTCGTACGCGTTACCTAATCTAAATGATACGACAGTCCCCGGTCAAGAAAGTGACCAAACAACTCTTGAACCCTGTAATAGTGTATGCAAAATTTCTGGTAATCTGTACCAGACCCAACTACGTCAGGGTCGCCATGCAGACAAACGTCTTACAGTCCCCGAGATCAAATGGGACAGGTCCAGGGAATCCAGGGCACTAATTTCGACTCGGCCGAAGCTGAGGCCATAAAACCAAAGCACCAGCAGACTGAGACACCTGTAGGAAGGTCCTGGAACCAAACAAATGGAGGAGACTTGTCAGCGTCTCCGTGTCGAACACCTCTGAAGGGAAGCGTCCATCACTGAGGAAACAGGTCTGTTCACCAGCTGAAACTGGTCGGGGCCTGATGGGTCCTCCTCCGTGGATTAAAGTCTTGACGTCGGGTCCTCCCGGAAAAACTATTCCAAAACGTATGAGAACTGGTAGGGGAAAACATAGGAGGCACTCCCTTGCGTCCAATCCACCCTCCAGGACTCTACTCCTCGAGATGTAGAGTGGTCGATATTTCCTCGGTTGAACACGAAATCCAGGGACCTGAACAAGGGAAAACGCAGAGAGCCTCTGACCCTTCGGTCTGGGAGGGAACTAGTAGAGGATCCCGCAAGCCCGTCCGGGCAGACCGTACATCTAAACGTCCTCGTGGAACAAACGAGAAGGGTCCCTTCAGATAGTTCTGGTATTCTCGAATGTCCTAAAACCTCCAAACCTGCCAGCCAGGCTGTAGTATCTTCCAAATGAATGACGTCCCAGAAACTTATCTCGCCTTGGAGAAAATTGACCCCGCCTTACCAGAAATGGACCCCGCGGTCCTTAGAAGTTCCCTGAGGTCTGTGTCTAATTCAAAGTAACTAATGGATATGCGTTCAAGCGTAGTCCCGTGCGGGGGCTCCGAAGGGCTCAGCTCCCTTAATCCCGTCTGGTATGTCATCCGAAGGTGGAGGTAAATGTGAAACTCCGGGGCCAAGGGTCTAATCCTCTATAACAGGTACGGGTTGGAGCAGACATTCTGGCATAGACAATGCAGGCCAGATCAATGGGGCACAGACAAAGCAGGCCAATCAATACAGCTCGGACCAAGCCGGCCAAATCCTGGGGCACAGACAAGTCAGGCCCAACAGGGGTGCGCAGGCGATAAACAGCACCTTCCATTCTTCTAAATAATTGTATATTTCACTCTTCGGAGAAGATGCATTCTTATTTGTAACTGTACATAACACTCTTCTGTGTAACTGTACACAACACTCTTCTGTGTAACTGTACCTCTCTTCTATGTGACTGTACATAGCATTCTTCTGTGCGACTGTACATAGCATTCCTCTGTGTAACTGTATATAACCTTCTTCCGTGTACCCGTACATAGCATTCTTCTGTGTAACTGTGCATAACATTTATTTGTGTAATTGTACATAGCACACATCTGTGTAACTATACCTAACATTCTTCTGAGTAACTGTACATAGCAATCTACTGTGTAACTGTAAATAGCCTTCTACTGTGTAACTGTATATAACAGTCTCCTGTGTAACTGTACATAGCGTTCTTCTGTGTAACTGTACATAGCATTCTACTGTGTAACTGTACATAGCATTCTTCTATGTAACTGTACATAGCATTCTCCTGTGTAAGTGTACATAGCATTCTGCTGTGTAACTGTACATAGCATTCTATGGTAGAACTGTACATAGCATTCTACTGTGCAACTGTACGTAGCCTTCTTCTGTGTAACTGTACATAGCATTCTACTGTGTAACTGAAGATAACGTTCCTCAGATAACTAGTAAGCAACCCTTTGCAGCATCTGTGTATAAGAAACAGGCAACCAACAGCATCCAGCTACGGAAGTCACCAGGGAACAGGGGGTGGACAAGGAAAATCATAACATAGCAAAACAGTAGTGCTAGTGTAACTTAATAGGGGATCACCAGTGATCCCTCACCTTCCTCAAACGTATAAGATAATGCCAGAAGGTATGTCTAGCTTTTTAGGTATGTCCCAGGATTGCAAAGTTATCACTGCTAAACTTTGACAGTATCGAGTTTATTGACCTCAGAAGTATGAAAGTCTGACTTGACCCTGCTAGGAATTGAACCTGCAGCACTGAGGTATTGCAGTGACAAAGAGCCATTCTAATACCTCTGAAGGCTCATAGTGTGAAGTGCAACCTGCCTCCCCACCGACGCCCGGACGGAGGGGCCCTGCGATGTGGGTCGGAAACAGCCGCTCCCACGTGGCCGGTCATCCCCCCGCGCGCCACTCGCAGGCGTGAGAGCAAAATGGCTTCCCCGCGGATCGTGGAGCGTGGGAGGGAGACAGGCAAATGGGTAGTTCACTGCACGCTGTGAGAGCAGCACTGAGCCGCTTCCCGCCGACCGCTAGAAAGGACAGAAGGAAAAGGGAAAAAAGGACAGCAAAGGAGAGGTAGGGAAAAACAGGGAGAAAGGTGGAGGAAGGCATCCTACAGACCCCACAGAAAAGGGGGGGGGGAGGTAGACAGAGCAGGCAATAACAAAAAATACCTTTTATGGATTCCTTACTTTTTGTCTCTGGTGTCTTTCTCTCTATGTTAATGTGCTGCTGTGGAGTTCTAGTAAAGAGAGACTTAAGCAAATATGAAGCCTCCTGTCATGTTATAAAATTCCATTCACAACAGGTGTGTTTCCAAAGTTTAAAGGGACACTCTACTGCCCAAATACAAAATAAAGAAAAATCACCATTTAGTAGATACACACCAAATGAAAATGTGCATGCATTTAATCATGTATTGTTTCATTGGAGGTAGATCTAAAAGCAGCTTGCAAAACCAGCAGTTTCTTGTCTGCAGCCTTTGCAAACCCTCCCCTTCTAACCCTGCCCAGACTTTCCGTGGCTGTCCAATCAAAGACTTCCCAATGCAGCTCAATGAAAAGTCTTTGCAAGGCAGGTGCTCTGAGCAATTGCTGCCTCTGGAGTATAGCACCACTGAGCTAAACACACCAGGAAGTAACAGGGCTGATTGTCAGATTAAATGTCAGGGAGGTGTAATCTGGTAAATTTTAAGGGATACTATAGTGCTAAAAATACAAAGTTGTATTCCTAACTATATAGCTCCCTCTTACCCCCTCTCCCCCTCCCCCTGTTCAGCGTCAACGTGGCGACCAAAAGTCCCCTAGCAAGGAGGAAGGAGCTGTCTGACTGACAGTCACTAGAGACAGTCTTCCCTGCAATGTAATTATTGCAGTTTCGCAGAAGCTTGAGTGCACCCAGATTCTCTTCAATAAAATGAACTGGTCTGGGTGCCTATAGTGTCTCTTTAAAGTGTCAATTTCTTTTGAAATCTGCACTCTTCGAAAAATAAAAAAATATGACGCACTCTTCACACATAAAGCTTTTCAGCAAGCTAAAGTGCTTATGGGGTCTGAAGTGTCCATTTATCTATCAAATGGAATACACAATGCATATTATTAGCCTTTACTGCAATTCCGTTTATTGGATATCAAGACGCTATGCCAATGCAAAAAAAAACCAACACGTCTCCATTTTAGGTGGGGACATTTGTAATGCACAGACTTTTAAATAACCTTGCCAGCCAACAAGAAAATCCACTTTGCAAGCAGTGTCTTACATAATTTGATTGGTTTTATACACACAAGCTGCAGTCCTGATTTATGCTGTAGTTCAGCATGTATGGAGGAGTGGCTGATATATTTTTTTTCTTTCTACTTGTTGCAAATACTGAATGCACACAAGAGAATTCATCAGTGCTGTCTGATTCCCTGTCTCCCATGAGAGGTGGAAAGGGTCTGCAGCCCTGCCATTCTGTGCAGATGTTTCTATGGTAACAGCTTCAGCTAATTTCTAAGCTAAGATCTGTCCGCTGATGCTCAAGTTCGCCGGCACAAAGATCACCCGCTCCCTCCCCTTTGTATTGAATAGTTTTTAAGGATGCCTTAAGCAGTCATTTGAAGGTCATGGGCCACATTGGTAATTTTCAAAATATACGCTAACACATTTTCCAAGACCCTTCTGTTTATACTGAGACACTACCGTTGCTGCTACCGTTAGTTTGGGAGAATATGCAGACACTAGGTCAGCGTTGTAATAGGCAGGGAATACACAAACGTTGATATTTTTAAGTCCCCATCTTTTGTAGGTAACCCCTATGTTGCATGCCTTCTGGGGAACATGCAGGGTGGCCTTATTTCATGTGTGTAGTGAAAAGAAGTTTATGGGTAGCACCTTCTAGGCTAAAAGTTAGAACCACAGCTGTTGAACTACACATTAAATTATGTTTTGCTAGACTGGCAAAGCATTGTGGGTCATTAGGCTATAGCAGCTGGGGTTCCACTTCTTGGCCACCTGTTCACGATTACCATCTCATTTTAGCAGGGAAATCTTTTTTTTCACCTATTGTGCCTGAGTCATCTTTTTTTTTCGTTGAATATTCCTATTGTATGGCTCTGCAGATCAGGTCATCAAAAAATTAAGCCATGCACTCAAACACCCACTACTCTTAGTCGGCAGCAATGGCTTTAGTAATCATCAGCCCAAATACATGGAAAACACACAAAAAACACACTCTAATGGCTATTAAAGTGTAAGCTCACCTGTCTCGTTTACTAGCCGCTTAGATTAGTCCTACACTAACAATTCACCTTGCTGCGTTAAGCGAAAAGGTAAAATCATATTTTGCCATACTTTTTCTGCAATGCCATTTATGATGGCCACAAATAGTGAAAAAAGCCCAGTGTAAAGCATAAAGCATTTCTTAATTTGTTTAAGTGCTATATAAATCCATACATAGATGGCATTATAAGTCTGTAGTAAATTAACATTGAGTATACCTTCAAGAAACTTTAAAATTTAAACTTAAAATTTAAACGAAGAGCTCGTATGTAAGTGTATTAGATAAAAAAAATTACATAAAAAGAAAATATTATTGTTTTAAAATCCTGTGCTGTTGTGCATATTATAATTAAAGAAAGCACACAAAAACTTTAACACTTACATATACAAAACATACAAATAATACATAGAATAACATAAAAAATAATAACATACCATAATAGTGTATTCAAGAAAATAAAAAGCGCACACAGGCTTTGCCTATAAAAATGCAGATGTATCAGTTTGTTTATTTAAGCCTTTACGTCTCAAAGTATATATCAGGTGACTATTTTGGATTTTCGAATAACCAGAATCTTCTTGTTATAGCTGATAGACCCATGACCCGTAACCGGAGCTATAACAGGACTGGAGAAACTAACGTGGGTTTGCTATAATTTAACCATTAGAGTATCTAGACCAATAACACAGAATTTTCACATCCAATAAGACGATTGTGTCACATATACCTATCTTTGAGCAGCCTGTATGTTTGGCTTACACACTGACTATAGGAATAGTTCAAAAGTTATACTTAACAAATAAGGAGATGCAATTGGTAAACAACAGGATCTTAAAGGATGAATTGATGACTTTTAAATTAAACTAAGTTTTCTTAGTTTACCCACACATTATTATTACAACATAAAATGACAGCGTGCTTGATAGAGGACATTTGCTGTATTCTTAAAGGGACAGTCTAAGCAAAGTGATTTTGGTGGATACACGCGGCCCCTGCAGCCTTGTAAATGAATACAGTGCCATTTCTAAGAAACATCCCTGTTTACATTTTCCATTTGACATGCCTACTAGTGGCTTTTAGATTTACAGCAAGCCACTAGGGCGGAAGGACGCAACCTTCTGCTCTCCAGATGCTGTAGACTACATCCCCCGTAATGCTTTGCCTCCATTATGGTTGTAAGAGCATTATGGGAGATGTAGTCCACAACATCTGGAGAGCCATAAGTCGCAAATGGGGCCTTGGACTAACTTAGTTTCAGTGATTGAATCTCTTTAATGTCAGGTGTCTAAATATAAAGTATTCTGAGGCTGAGCGCAGTATGTGTGTGCAGTGTTTCTCTATGAGAAGCATTGGATTTAATGCTTCTCGTTAGACTTGTGAATTTGTTCTCAAACTGAAACCAGTCTGAATTTTGGCCGATCGGCAGATTGTCCAAGTTCTGTAACTTCGAAGCGCCTGCTTGGTTGCTTTGTGATTTGTCATTTTATTTCTAGTGCCAATAAAAGGTTGTGGAATGGAGAAGAAGCTGATTTTTTTTGTTAGGAAAACTTGGACTTTAGGTCTGTCCAAAGATATGGGCTGTATCTCCAGTCCAATCTAGAGGTGGCAAAAGATCCTAATGTGAGGCTGGTTAGTTTTAGGTTACTGCTGTACCTTCCTAGCAACTGCCAGTGCTACTTACAAACACTTTTTGTGGGAGATAGATATAGCTTATTTAATTGTTAAATTGATCCTAATGTAAGACTAGATAGGTGACTGTTCTGCCTAGCCACTGCCAGGGCCACTTACATCAACTTTGATTTACTGATTGAGATTGTGGCAGATCTTTTTTTTTACTGTTTGTAAAAAGAAAATTAGTGTTTTTGTTTGAGTGTGTTCGGTACAATTTGATCCTAAATGTATAATTGACATCATACCTCCCAAGTGTCCCTATTTAGAGGGTACAGTCCCTATTTTGGGCCCAAATCCCCTCTTTTTCTAGCCTAATGTACATCTTTTCTAAGAGCTCAATATTGTTGATGTATCTGAGTGTATAACAGAGCTTCACAGCAATACTACTCATAGTAATGTCTTTAAACTACACTAAATGTGATTAGAAATCAGTCTGTGTAAATAAGATACATTATTCTGGTTTTAAATTACATTTTAATTGCATAAATTACTGCTAGTAAGGCACCTAAGATTTCCTAGGGATGACCACACTCCCACTCACTCCCCTAAAATTAAAAGGTCCCTCTTAGTCCATTTGAAATGGTTTTAGGTAGGCTTACACCAACTCTGTGTAGAGGATACATAGCCTGTTTAAATTGTTTAATTGATCCTAGTGTGAGACTGGTTAGATTACTGCTGTGCCTAGCCAGTGATATTGCTACTTACACTAACTTTTATTTACTTGTTTTAAGTGTGGCAAGTCTTAAATATTTTTAAGTATGTTCAGTGAACAAAAAAAAGGTCAATTTGCCTAGCCAGTGTCATTTCGCCAACTCTAAATGGGAGCTATAGAACCTATTTATTTTAATTGTGTCATAGATCCTAATGAGGTTGTGGTTACTTTTTTGCTGTGCCTAGACAATGCCCGTGCCACACTTACAGCAAGTATGATTCACTGATTTATTTATTTTTTTCTTATTGATTTGCTTTTTGTGTTTTAATTTCTTGTTAGAAACAAATTATTTGAGTTGCAGTGTTCTTCAGTGTCACTACTTGTGCTTTGCATATTGCAATATAGTTTGTGTCAGTTTACTGCATAAGTGAATTCTGCACTTAGTGTGGCAGGTCTTTTTTTTGTAGTTGCTATTTTAGAAACAAAATATGTTTTATTTTTTTTTCTGAATGTTTTCCTTCCAGTATGTGCTGTGCAAGTGTGTTAGCACTGAGCCGTGCACTTTGTGTACTGTAGCGTTTCTTAAAGTCAAACGCAATAACGTTACATTAGCAGTAAATTCACTAAGCAGAAAACTAATTTTTTAACACAATTTTTTTTTCCAGCTTAATAAAGTTGGGAATGGGTGAGTTGCAATGCCCACTCACGGTTTCCTTTAATTTGTTTGAAAACATCCCCTTTTAAATTAAATTATTCCAGTTGTTGCTCCCCATTTCCTAAAATGCGTTTCTTTGTAGAAGTTTCGCCCTGCCTGGCTGAGTCTCGTGGTGACTCCTACCTCCACATATGCAGTTCGTAGAAACTGATAGGGCTCTGTGTTTTACCCACACTGAAAGACAGTCACTTCTTTTTCTCAGATAAAAGCTAATTGGCAATTGACGACCTATTCAGCCCTTCTAACCTAAGAAGAAGAATTGTACAGTGCTACGGAATGTGATGGCGCTATATAAATAATAAAATAATAAAATAATAATGAAAGCTTTCTCACACATCCAGTCTGCAGCGTGAGTGATTGTCCTTCAGTGTGAAAAAAAAAAAAACAGTACCCTATCAACTTCTACGAACTGTAACTGCGGAGTTAGCAGGCGTAACCACAAGACTTACCCAGGCAAAAACAAAAACACAACAGTGAAAGTCATTTTAAAAAGGGGGAGCAGCAGCAGGAGTATTTAAAAAAATAAAAAATAAAAGTCAAACAAATAAAATAAAAAGAAAAGATTGTTATTACTATTTTATTATTTATATAGCGCCATCACATTCCATAGCGCTGTACAATTGATTACCCTTGATACCCTTTCACTTTTTGAATAGTCGCATTTTTCAAATTATATTACTCCTGCTGCTGATAAGGCACTGTTTTTTTCCAAAACCTGATAGTCTCTCACAACAGACTGGATGTGTGAGAAATCATTGTGATTATCAGGTTGCAATAGGTGACTTTCAATTGCCCACAGACCTTTTCCTTAACTTTTTTGAAAAAAATCCCTTTTTTCGAATTAAAATGACTCCTGCTGCTGCTCCTCATTTTTCATTAATACACAATGGCAAAAGAAAAAACGATCCATCATTATAAAACTAAGGACTCGTTTTTATTTGTTTGAATCAGCATCAGAAATTATAGTGATCTTTTGGGGGGGGGGAGGGGAAACATTTCAAGTGATTTGTCTAAAGAAGTTAGCATTTTGTAATTGTTTCATTTATTGTTACATTTCCCCCTTTTTTTATAATATTGTAAAGTGCTGCGGAATACGCTGGCGCTATGTAAATGCCAAAAATAATAACAATAATAATAATTAAAGTCTAGGAGAATTTTTGTAGATAAATCATTTGTGAAGTTTTTTTCCAACAGATTGGAATTATTTCAGATGCCATTCAAACAAATTGAATCAATGCCTAAGTTCTCACACTTTTTCTTTAATACAGATATAACTAATAATATAATTATGCCAACTCAGAATTGTCATTGCAGAAATGCCTGATATTGTGCAGACATTAGGCTAGGCGATATTGTAGCTGTTTTTGCATTGCAGCGCACTGATAGACAGCAGTCCTTTTTTTCCCCACACTTTTGGCTTGTCCGAATCTAGAGATTTTCCTAGGTAGCGATGTAAACACTGCCCTTTCTCTAAAATGGCAGCGTTTACATTACTGAGCTTTCAGGGACAGGACAGGACATGCTGTAGTGGCTCTGGTGAGTATAGTGTCCTTTTAAAATATTTTTCATAATTTGAATTAATTTTACAAATTCATCCAAAAATATTAAATCTTTTGGAAAGCTTATCCAACAATATTAAATTGAGGCCCAAGTTATTTATTAATAGAATTTGAAAATGTTATGAAGTCTTTTGCATGTTCTGTGATCTGGCAATTTAGGATTCACATCTATATCTGATATGTGTTACTCTACTGGAAGTGAATGTATTACAAACTGTGCACTTAATAAAGATACAAAACATATATATTGATATATAGAAATACTGTGCTGGAAATAAATCACTAAATTGCTTTTTTTTCTCACTTTTTTCCACGTGCTTCATGGTACATGTCAAAAAGGACAGTTGGAACCAATAAATGAGGTGAGATTATTAGCTTTTTTATGAGAGCGTATTGGCATGTACTGTTTTTATATTGATTGTTTAGGTAACATAAGTTGTAGCTATGAAATGGCCATAGTATGTGTGATTAAAAGGGCCATAGTATGTGTGACTAAAAGGGCCATAGTATGTGTGATTAAAAGGGCCATAGTATGTGTAATTAAAAGGGCCATAGTATGTGTAATTAAAAGGGCCATAGTATGTGTAATTAAAAGGGCCATAGTATGTGTGATTAAAAGGGCCATAGTATGTGTGATTAAAAGGGCCATAGTATGTGTAATTAAAAGGGCCATAGTATGTGTGATTAAAAGGGCCATAGTATGTGTGATTAAAAGGGCCATAGTATGTGTAATTAAAAGGGCCATAGTATGTGTCATTAAAAGGGCCATAGTATGTGTAATTAAAAGGGCCATAGTATGTGTGATTGAAATAGCCATAGTATGTCTGAATAAAAGGGCCATAGTATGTGTGTTATTGGAATGGCCATAGTATGTGTGATTAAAAGGGCCTTAGTATGTGTGATTAAAAGGGCCATAGTATGTGTGACTAAAAGGGCCATAGTATGTGTAATTAAAAGGGCCATAGTATGTGTGACTAAAAGGGCCATAGTATGTGTGATTAAAAGGCAATAGTATGTGTGATTGAAATGCCCATAGTATGTGTGATTAAAAGGCCATAGTATGTGTGATTAAAATTGCCATAGTATGTTTGAGTGAAATGGCCATAGTATGTGTGATTAAAATTGCCATAGTATGTGTGATTTAAAGGGCCATAGTATGTGTGATTAAAAAGGACATGGTATGTGTGATTGAAAAGGACATAGTATGTGTGATTTAAAGGGCAATAGAATGTGTGATTGAAATGGCCATAGTATGTGTGACTGAAATGGCCATAGTATGTGTGACTGAAAGGGCCACATTTTTTAAAATCTCTTTTACTAAAGGCAAAAATGGTTGCAATTTGCCAATTTTAACTGAATTTTGCTATCACATCTCATTCGATAAGTTAAAAGTAATTTAGTAAGTCTCATATGCAAATTCTATATATAATATTGGATTTGCTTAATTATAATTTAAAAATAAAATAAAAAATAAGTTTTATCTGGTAGCAGGTAAATTTGCAAAATAAATTCACCTGCTTTGTGCAGGTTAACTTATGCAAATCTGTATTGCTTATTGTACCCAACCAGACATTGACAATCTTGAGACCAATGTATGGATGTTTCAGTTTGAATGCCCCTGGATGGTGCCAAGCCAGACTGGCGACTATTAACCAGTAGGCCTCTAGTATTTAAAATTGTTACTAAGTCATAATTGATCAATAACCAACTTCCAGACCCTGGAACAAAACCATCTAGGTTTTCCACTCAATCATAAAATCTAGAAAATAATTAATAACGTAAATATGGGGACTTGTTAATGTATGCATTGGGTGCTTTGGGGTACAGCATAAGTAATGACAATAGCTATAGATCTGATGACCTATAGCTTCTCTCTCTTGAGCAGGATGTTGCTTTAAGATACATCACGTGGTAGAGGAAGCATAGTGTGGCACCCAAATTCTGTGGGGGTATAATTTGTATTAAGCACTTTGGCCAAGAACAAGAGTAAGTAGCAAAACAAAATACATTGGAAAATAAACACAATGCAGTCATGGACTGGACTCATATTTTGTGAAATATGACAAAAGGGATTCCGTACATCATGCACAATATTAAATTGCTGTTTCCTACTCCTTCTGGAACAGGGATTCCTGTCTAAAATCTCCGATCTGCTGCTGTGTCGATGGACGTGCAGAAATTGCTGTCAAAAATGCTATGAATGTAGCTGTTGCCAGTCGAGTGAAGATGAAGTTGAGATTCTTGGGCCTTTTCCGGCACAGACACCACCATGGATGTTAGTACCGATGACAGATTACTTATTGATGTTGCTTGTATGGAATTGTGTAAAGAAATGAGAATCTGTCTTGTTTCTGTTCCTGTTAGCTGTCTTAAAAGAACAAGAAAACAGACTATAAATGTATTATTGTTGTGATAGTTGAAAATATTGTTGTTCATTGCCTAAAATGTTCATATAAGTTTTCCAAATATTTTTTGCATTGTCACAGCATTACCATCAAGATTTTTCTTAAATGTATCCCTCCATGGTCTGAGTAAATTTTCCTATTCTGGACATCAGGGAGATTCGGCTGGGGGGAAGACATGGGCAGCATGGAGGGGAGGGGGCCTGCTGCCATTGACTGTCTGTCGCCAGCATGCTGTGCTTGCTGACAACACATGCCAAATATGCACAAAATTAACATAAGCCACCCGGAACTCTTGTTACGAGCTGATGCCCCAATGACTCTGTTGTCAGCAGAGATGTTAAACTCTGCATGTGCGGCATTTCAAAGTGAAACACTACATATACTCTATGAAAATGTATTGGTGTGAGGGGTGCAGCAGAATTAAATATACACTGATTCCTGCAACACCTGCATGTGTATATAAAGAAATATTGTTTGTGAAGACTGCATTGTAATGTCATTGTAATTCCAATGCAATCTAAATATACTGCAAGTCAAAGTAGGGACTACTCTGTCTTATGGTAAAGCCTGAGGTTGACTACAGGCAGAGCTTTGCCGTCAGTGTTTGTCCAATCTCAGCAGCAATATGGGATTATGTGGGATTCAGGCTCTGTCTATGGAGGTTCCACCAGTCTCCGTTCTCTCGTGCATCTGCGAGTGTACAGCACTCATGTATCTCCTGGCAACTGAACTGCCAGGAGGTAAGAGGACCGTAGCATGAAGATGACGACAGTCATGAGGTATAGTCTGAAGTAAGTAAAACTCACCTCCCATGCATCCTACCGCCACCAGACCCACATCAGATTGATACATTTTGGGGTCCTTTGTGAAATAGGCAGAGACCCGCTTTAATATTATGTATGGCTGTATTATGTAATTGAATTTATACTTAAATATAGCCAAAACTAAAAATCGTAATCACTGTTTCTGAAAAATGTCTTTACATTTAGATTTATTAGAGCACAGGGAAAATTATTATGTAATTGAATTTATACTTAAATATAGCCAAACCTAAAAATCGTTATCACTGTTTCTGAAAAATGTCTTTAAATTTAGATTTATTAGAGCACAGGGAAAATTCTCCAAAACAGCTATACTTTGAGTGTGGCTACTTTGGATTCCAGAAAATGGTTATTTTAGTGAATAACTCTGCATAAATTGCTAGCACAAGAGATTATATGACATTACTTGACATATCATAATTGATTAACCTTAAATTTCATTATTTCTACAGGATGAGCAATCGCAGTGATGAAAAGGAAGGGGATTCAGATAATGCTGCAAGTGAACCTCCTCCAACGCCACAGGACACTTCACCTGACAGACGCAGGTCATCTTCAGACACATCCAGGTCTACTTACAGTCTCACGAGGCGTATTTCAAGTAAGACTGTTATATATGATGTGACATATGATAAGGACTGTAAAAAACACTTAATTTTAAAAAGTCTTAATTCAATAGGATGAGAATTTACAACTATAGATTTGCAAATCCATGTTAAAAAAGGCTTACAGCAAACAGGTGATTAGTTAACATATGGTAAGGTGCTTCAGAAATTAAATAAAGTTAATGTAAACAAAGCCCCAGGGCCAGATGGTATTTAGCCATGTGTGCTTAGGGAGCCTAGTGTAGAAATATCAATACCACTGTTTATAAATTTTCAGGATTTTTTTCTTTCAGGGGGATAGAAAACAAACTTGTAGACCGATATTGCGTAGGATGAGAAGAAGCTGGTGATGATCAACAGTGTCAAAAGCTGCAGACAGGTCAAGGAGAATTAGGATAGAGTAGTGACCATGAGATTTTGCAGCGAGTATATCATTGGATACTTTGGTCAGTGCCGTTTCCACAGAGTGCTTAGCGCGGAAACCAGACTGAAGCGGGTCTAGCAGAGAGTTGGACACAATTTTTTCAAGCATCTTGGATGCAAAAGGCAGTAGCGAGATAGGACAATAGTTGGATGGGGAGTTAGGGTCAAGATTGGGCTTCTTTAGAATTGGGGTTACAGTTGCATGTTTGAAGGGCAATGGAAATATACCAGAGGAAAGAGAGAGATTGAGAATTTTAATGAAAGGTGGAGAAAGAGAAGACAGAGTACGGATAAGATAGAGGGAATTGGATCTAGGGAGCAGGTGGTAGGGTGGGAGGACTGGAGCAGAGCAGAAACCTCTTCCAATGTAGCAGGTCTGAATGAACATAGAACAGCAGAGGGAGTGAAGTTAGGGGAAGTATTGTAAGGTGAAGAAGAAAAATAGAGATCTCTTCTCTGACTGTAGAGATCTTGTCAGTGAAATTAGTTGCAAAGTCTGAGGGGGTCAAGTTAGTAGGTGGAGGAGGAACAGCAGGGCGAAGAAGAGAGTTAAATGTGTGAAATAGTAATTTGGGTTCGCGGGAGAGTGTGGTTATGAGGGTATTGAAGTAATTAACTTTTGCAGAGGAAAGAGCCAAGCTGTATGAGCTTAGCATAAATTTATAATGGAGAAAGTCAGATGCACAGTGAGACTTTCTCCAACAGCGTTCAGCAGTTCTGGAGCATTTTTTGGAGGTATTGAGTGAGCTTGGTGTGCCAGGGTTGTTGTTGGGGGGGCCTGCGGCGTTTAAATGTACAAGGTGCCATGATGTCTAGTTGAGAGGAGAGGGTGGTTGCAGAACTAGGACAGGTGAGGTTGAGATAGGTAAAAGGAGAGTTTGGAGATTAGTGGAGAAATGCTCTAGGTCAAGACATTGGAGGTTTCTGTGAGAGTGATGTTCAGACGGTGATGTCAGTTGGGTCTTGGGTATGCCAATGTCAAAAGTCAGCAGATGGTGGTCAGATAGAGGAAAAGGAATATTGGAGAGATTAGAGGCAGTACAGAGGTTGGTGAAGGCAAGATCAAGAGTGTTTCCTGCTGTATGGGTTGCTAAATTGGACCATTGCGTAAGGCCAAAGGAGGAGGTTACAGAGAGCAGACGAGAGGCATCAGTGCAATTGCGTTTATTGATTGGGATATTGAAATCCCTAAGTATAAGGGAAGGAGTGCTAGATGAGAGGAAGTGGGGAAGCCAGGGAGAAAAGTGCTCAATGAATAGTCTAGGATAGCCGGAGGGGGGTAGATGATAGCAATTCTTAAAGGAGTGGGTTTAAATAGGCGGACAGAGTAAACTTCAAAAGAAGAAAAGGATAGGGCAGGGGGAGTTATGATTGGTTGAAAGGTACATTAAGGGGAGAGAAGGATGCCTACGCCGCCTCCTTTACAGTTGAGTCTGGGAGTGTGAGAGAATTGTAGCCCACCAAAACATAAAGAGGCAGGAGTAGGTCTCTGTAAGTGCAAGCAGTGTGAGTGAATTTGAGATGAAAAAGTCGTGTATGGTTGTTGATTTTAAATTACTGCAGATGGAGCGGGCATTCCAGAGTGCACAATGAATTTTGGTAAGTGAGGGTAAAGGGCCGGGTATGAGGTTTGTGGGGTTTCTGGTTGTATTAGTGTGTGTAGAGAAGTTGAAGGGCCCTGGATTGGGAGAGACATCCCCAGCTGCTAGAAGTAGGAGGAGAGAAAGTGACAGGAGGTGTGAATGGGTTTTGTATGCATGGGGTCTAGGATGAGATCGATTGTGGGTTGGAGTGAGAGTAGAAAAATGAGTGTAAGGCATGAGATGAGAGACGGGGGGAGTGTAGCAGAGAAGGGCATGTGTAAATGATGGCCTCCTACATGTCAGTGCTCTGTGTTGAGAGCTTTGACAAGTTATGAATACTGAGGCTATTATTAGCTGACCTTTTGCTACAAACACAAGTAATTATCATGATGATTGTCCTAAATATTGCTTTTTGTCCCAGATTGGCTTGATTAATATGCCTCCCATAGAAATATGCTGCTGCATCTCTGTTGCAAATACTGATAATGCCATTTGTTTACGTTCTAGGTTTAGAATCAAGAAGACCAAGTTCTCCATTGATTGATATAAAACCAATTGAGTTTGGTGCATTGGGATCAAAAAAAGAAATCATACAACCAACAGTTCTGAGAAAAACATATACCCCAGAAGACTATTTTAGAAAATTTGAACCACGTCTTTATTCCCTCGATTCCAGCAATGATGATGCAGACTCATTAACTGATGATGAAATCCTAACTAAATATCAACTAGGTATGCTGCATTTTAGTACTCAGTACGATCTATTGCACAACCACCTGACTGTCCGTGTGATCGAGGCCAGAGACTTGCCACCTCCCATATCTTATGATGGTTCAAGACAAGACATGGCTCATTCAAATCCATATGTGAAGATATGCCTCTTACCAGACCAGAAGAATTCTAAGCAAACAGGCGTTAAGCGTAAAACTCAGAACCCAGTATTTGAGGAACGATACACTTTTGAAATACCCTTTTTAGAATCCCAAAGAAGAACTTTGCTTCTAACTTTAGTGGATTTTGACAAGTTCTCCCGTCACTGTGTTATTGGAAAAGTCTCAATGCCTTTAAATGAGGTTGACCTTGTCAAAGGAGGGCACTGGTGGAAGGCCATTATACCAAGCTCCCAGGTGAGTTACCTATTCATAATTACTGTATTTTGAATGCATGAGACACTACAAGCTTGAGCATGATTTAATAATGGGCCCATTTAAACTAAATGACAAACTGCACGTTTTTAAAACAATATTTATCTAGAGAAACACAGTGATGCATAAAGCTCCCTAGTCACAGACTCATTGCACATCGTTACTTATAACTTCAGCAAATTGTGAAAATTGCCATAGGTATAAGATTGCCCCTTCAGGCAAATGAGGCAGTTTTTGTGCCTGAGGCATGTTGAGTACACTTGTCCTCTGCCCTCTCAGTTCCTGTGGAGAGACAGAGCTATGGACATGGACTGTAGGTGGCTAACGAGATTGCTGAACACTGTTATACTCAATGAAGCTGTGAATGTGCTCATGTAAATTTATTGAGCAGTTCCTTTGTCAACCCTGAGGATTGCAACTGTGACTTTAGTGTAAAGTATAAATCATATAATCCACTTTGGCTCAAAATGAAAGGTTCCTGATTGGCCGTGCCTTTTCCTTGTCTGGGAGAGGTCTGCTTGCTGTTTTTGTTCTCAGTGTGTTCATATTTTTATTTGCCTATTTCCAATGCCATATCTTTGTAATGTTTAAAAAAAGGTTTTATTGGTCCCTAAAGAAAAAGCTATTTTTGAATTCAATGGTGATCTCATTTTTCATTTACCAACATTACCCAGCATCCATTTGCTATACATATATCATTTGTACTCTTTTTGAAGGTATCGACTGAATCCGCCAATTCATCTTTGTTGAACAGCCCATTTCACATCTTAAGTGCATGTAACTGACAAAATCTGTTTGACATAAAGGAAGAAAGGGTGATGGGGAGTTTTCAGTCATATTGAAGATTACAGTCATATTTATTTAACATTTAAGTAATTATATCACATAATTAATTAATTCATAGGTAAGTGCCAACCTATTATAGGCAGAAAACCCATTCCAAAATCAGACTGATATTAGTTTGTAATGCACACACTGCATGCACTTCTTTTTAGAGATATGTTTATTATTGGCATTTGTACTTTGTACAAGTTCCTCCTTTGTTTTATTGTCCTTGTAGTCATTTTGAGTTAAAAGTTTAATCTAATGCATCAATAACCGAAGAGATGAGTTGCACCAGACATAACACCCACACATCCCCTCCCCTTAGTATGACTCATAATCCCATTATGCAGGACATAGTTCCCTGGGTTTTCTGGATGTACCCCTAAACATAGGGGTACCCCTTTAAATATTACATCCCCTGGTAGCCCTGATCTGGGTGAGAAACATATTCAAAAATCAACCAGATCGGACCAGGGGTTCGGGAAATTCCTGGAGGTAATAAAATGACCGACCGCACTGGGGTTAACAGCCGAAATGGGTTCCATACATTTTGGCCTTGCGGTCGGTCTCAGAAAAAGGGAACAAAATGCCTGAACGGCTTGGGTTATGGAGACTGGGGAGGATTCGGATAAACCCCCTTGTTCGTGGGGTTGTTTCTACCGAACGGCTCCGTTCGGTAGTTCCTACACGAAGGGACGGCAGTGTGGAGGTCTCAGCTGTGTTTGCCTAGCCAAGTGTCCGATTTGGATTCCAGACAGCTGTTCGGGAGTTTAAGATGGCCGCCACCACGTGTTCGTCTTCCGAATGGCGGCCACCCAGAGGACACAGCACACACTGCACGGATTGCCAATTACCCGTTTGCAACATTGTTGCGAATGGTAATTGGAGGCACACTTATTCCTGGGATGGTCTGATCGTTCGATAGTTTCACTTGCATAATAACTGCAGTGATTTTACCGAACAATCATTCGAATGCTGCATACACTTTGCATACATATGGCAAAAATTAACCAAACACATATGAATACACATAATTCTGAGGACAGCCCAATGCCTAACCACTACAAGGTGGTTAGGTGTGAATATTTTTTTTATGGAAGGAGAGTCAGTTTCCTCATATATTCTATTATTAATTGATGTTACTTGGTTAATAGATTTTAAGCACATCAGTTAAATACAATCTGGTCTCTCTTTATTGAAGTTCAAAATACAACATTACATGTATTATTAGCCTCTGTGTGTATTATTTTGTAATCCACACATGTTAGTAAATACCTTGTTTCAGTGTGTTTCTCCTGTCTTACCCTTGCATCTTGGGGCAGCCATCTTTGAATTCTCTTTTGTTCAGAATAAACAGTTACCCAGTCACAGCCCATACAGGTACCAAGAGCTGGTGCACATTCACAAATCCTTGATGTCTATCATTTGCAAGTGTTGGCCATATCAAAATGATACCTTAACTGGTTTGATCAGTTCATACTGTACATGGTCTTCCCACATAACATGGTGCTTTTGGCAAAGGGAAATTAAAAGTGGCCACCTTCACAGAGCAAGGATAAGCCAAGGTAAATTGAACATGTAAGTAGTTACTTATATATAAACAGTACAATACATTACACAAAGAGGTTGTATTACATGGAATATTTAATTACAATAATAGAAATGTGTTACAATTTTCCTTTAAACCTGAGTTTATTCGGTTAAACTAAATTATATTTAATTTGACTTCAGTCAAATTTCTCCTCTTCCCACCTCCACCCCAATATATCAGGAATATAATAAAAACTTGGGTTCATTCATAGTCGTCATTTAGATCTATCTGTCTAGTTTTTTATTTTTTTTATTTTTTTTGTCATTCAAGGTTTTTATTAAGGTCATTCAATAGTTACAGATGGGTGTGAACATTTACGTGTCAAAGTAAAGTGTTATGTAGTTCAGCATGGTATACAATTCAATATCAGTTTGAGAGTGTACGATACATGCATGGTAAATTTCACATCTAACATTGTTTGCTAAGATAAGCTTTTCCAGTTGGTAAGGTATTTATGTGGTTACGTTACTTAGTAGGGATATGTTGTGGTTCGCAACACTTGGGTCCAGTGAGGTTTGCCTTTCACTGGGGTTTCGAATAGGAAGCCCGAGGCCTAGTGTTCGGGGGTAAGGGAGGGGGACCTGTGGGCAGCAGGGGGGTGTTTGTTGGGATATTGCTGCGTCCGGTGCCATCTGGGGAAGATGGGGGGTTAGCGGTCTGTTAGTCGGCGTGTAGCAGGGGGACTGTCTCTGGGGTGCTGTCGCGTGTCTGTTTGTCGTGTGACGTGGTTGTGTCTCCTGAGGGTTAGTGGGGTTGTGTTGTGTGGTGTTCTTTCTATGTCCGGGGGGGAAAGGTGTGCGTATGTTGGTATGTTGGTTGTCTTGTGCAATTACTTGTCTCGGCATTGGTTTTTCCCTGGCGGGCTGTGTGTGGCCAGAGCCGCCAGGAGGAGGGCGGGGAGATAATAGTGAAGGATAGGGGTAAGAAGGGATGGATGGGTTCAGGGTAAGCATGGTGAGGTGTGGAGGGTTAGGCGTGGGTTAGGGGGGTTCCGGGTCCAGGCTCCCTTGATAAAGGCATTTTTGCCGAAACGTTGGGGGTGTTTTGGTGACTGCCTCTGTCCCTGCTTCTCATTAGGTCTGGTATGCTTATTGTTATATAGTTTTGTATATTTATATCTATGTTTGTGGGGTTGGATTAGACTGATATTTTATTTCTCTATTTTTGTATATTGAGACTCTGTTATTCATATAAGATGCTTTTGGTGTTTATACTTATATTTTCAGAATTTTTCTGATCATTGCTGCATAGCGTGACATGATCCTATATTTTGGATCTTTATGTTATGTGATATTTTTATAGAGTATACCCACTTAATAAAGATTGTTTTATTACTATTGATGGTTGTGCTCCTTACTCTATTGTTATTTACATGTATGTGGGCTTTTGGGGATAAAGCCTTATGTGAGTGAGCACCCCATATTGTATTTTCATAGAGCTCCACTTGGGAGCTTGCATATATTTCATATTGAGTGTGCCTACCTTATTTAATTTTTAATTTTCTTCCGAGGTGTAGTCAGATGTCTCCCGCGCGGGCGCAATCTTGATAGGTCTCGGCCGCGGAGTTACTCTGAGCAAATCGCTGATAGTTTTAGTTGCCGACATTGTCTCGCTCTTCAGATGCTTAGATTTGCGTCCCATTTTGCTCAGACAGGCACGGGAGGTAAAACTTCCAAATCAGTGTATTAATGGTTTTGCAGCGGATTTCTCCCAGGAGCTCAGTGATTTCACATCTGCTTGAGTCAAGCGCTAGCTCCGCAACTCTATCTGCAGAGTTTTAATGATCCTTATAATCTCTCTTTTTAAAATAAATTATCTTAGAGATTGCTTAACCCTGCATGGCACGGGAATATTGTCTGTAACCTAAAAATGATTAATGCTACGTCTGCATAATTTTTTTGCCATTATTTGGTGGAAATAAATGTTCTGATGATTCTATTACAAAATGTGCACAATGAGAAGTATCCATAAAAGATTTGGAAATAAAGTTTATTTTACGTTGGGAATTTTTTGATGAAGGAAATGATTGCAAATGAAATGTTTTCTCATAATAACTATTAATTATCATTTAGATATCAATGTTTAAAGATGTGGTTTTTTTTGTTTTGTTTTTTAATCAAGGTATTCACTAATTGGAGAAAAATGTAAAGGGCTATTCACTAAAGTGAGATTTGCAGAGAACTAAGAGTGAATTCCAAATTGATAGCAAAGTAGCCTTTCATAGCTGACTGGGAGAATGTTTCTGGTTTATCAATTTTGACTTTAAAGGGAGGCTGCCGTTGGCAAAACTACTCTAGCTCTTGAAATCCACATACATATATGTTGTGCTGGGATTTTTGCTAGATGTGGAGTAAAGCCTATTTAAAAATAGATTTTTTACCCCCATCTGTCTCTCAATGTCTCGACAGACAGTGAATGCTGCATGCGCTGTAGTTACTATGGTAACTCCCAAGCCAATGCAGCTAGCGCTGACTAGGGAGTATGGGAACGAAGTAACATGACATCACTCCGCTCAGACGCAGCATACTCTGTAGCGCTTTACAATATTATCAAAGGGGGAGATTTAACCATAAATGAGACAATTACAAAAAAACCCTACAGGAACAATAGGTTAAAGAGGGCCCTGCTCAAACAAGCTTACAATCTATAGGAGGTGGGGCATAAAACTCAGCAGGACAGGAGGTAGCAATCAAACAAGGTGGAGTGAAGCAGAACCGGAGGAGAGAGTAGAGTGCTGCCCTTTAGGAGAGAGCAAGAGAAAGGTATGTGAGCTATTGGTTACTCTGGGAGGCCATAAGCTTTCCTAAAGAGATGACCAAGTAGGGGCATACCTGCAGATCAGTGAAGAGATATAGGAGGGGCTATAATTGGTCAGTGCTTTATAGGTATGGATTAGTACCTTGCTTGACTCCTATAGGATACAGGAAGCCAATGTAAGGACTGACAGAGGGGTGAGGTGTGAGAAGAGTGACAAGAGAGGAAAATTAGTCTAGCTGCAGCATTCATTACAGACTGTAGCGGGGCAATACAGCTTTTGGGAAGAACAATTAGGAGAGAGTTACAATAATCCATGCGAGATCTTGCATAAGAAAGGGGCGGATGCGGGCTATGTTTTTAAGGTTTAATATACAGGATTTTGTAACATACTGGATGTGAGGCTCAAATGTTAGGCCAGAATCAAGTATAATGCCAAGACAGCGTGCTTGCAAGGATGGACTGATATGGGTACCACTAACTTGAAGGGAGAGTAAAGGAGGAGGATCAGTATTTGGAGCAGGAAAGACAAGAAGTTTAGTTTTAGAGAGATTGAGTTTCAAAAAGTGGGAGAACATCCAGTCAGAGATGGAAGAAAGGCAAGCAGTGACACGTTGCAGGACGGCAGATAAGAGATCCAGGGAGGCGAGGTATATGTGAGTGTCATCAGCGTACAGGTGGTATTGGAATCCAAATGAGGTAATCGTTTTGCCAAGATAGGCAGTATAAAGCAAAAATAGAAGGGGATCAAATACAGAGCCTTGGGGGACTCCAACAGAGACAGGACGAAAGGAGGAGGTATCATTAGAAAAGAAAACACTGAATGAGCGTTGGGAGAGATAGGAAGAAAACCAAGAGAGGACAGTGTCACAGAGACCGAGTGATTGAAGAGACTGGAGAAAGAGAACATGGTCAACAGTGTCAAAGGCAGCAGCAAGGTCAAGAAGAATTGGTATGGAGTAGTGCACTTTGGATTTAGCTGTGATTAGGGCATTCGTGACTTTAATAAGAGCAGTCTCAGTAGATTGGAGGGGGCAGAAGCCAGACTGAAGAGGGTCAAGGAGAGAGTTGGAATTGAGGAAACAAGTCATACCAGTCTTTCCAGAAGTTTTGAGGAAAAAGGGAGCAGGGATATGGGACGATAGTTAGAAGGGGAGGATGGGTCAAGAGATGTTTTTTTAAAGATGGGTACTAAAGTAGTATGTTTAAGGGCAGCAGGGGCAACACCAGAAGAGAGAGAGAGCAGTTGAAGATGTGTATTAAGAAAGGCACAAGACAAGAGGAGAGATATCTGATAAGGTGAGACGGGACATAGAGGAGTGTTGTCCTGCTTGGGTAGTGTCCACGAGTAGGGTAAATTGACCAAGAGCAGAGGAGAAGCGCAGTCGGAATGTAACATCCACCTCTGTAAGGAGACCATTTTCTGTTGCCAAAGCTGATAGTAGCTGCAGTGTGACTGCTATCAACTTACTGATACAGTGTGTATTTGCAAATTGCTGCAATTGTAATCCTATGTTAGCATGGGGCATGGTGACTGGAACCTGCTTGCTCAGTGACCTATGCAAAGAGCATACATTTTTATAGTACTTGTAGTGTCCCTTTAAACAGACACTGTAGACACTATAACAATTTCATCTCATCAAATTGGTTATAGTGCCTGGAGTCTCCTGGTGCTGTTCCTCCGTTTGGTATTAAACCATTTTGAGAAGTTAAAGGACCACTATAGTGCCAGGAAAACATGCTTGTTTTCCTGGCACTATAGTGCCCTGAGGGTGCCCCCACCCTCAGGGTCCCACTCCCGCCGGGCTGAATGGAGAGGAAGGGGTTAATTCCTTACCTTTTTTCCAGCGCCGGGCTCCCTCAGCGGTGGGGAATTCCTCCTCCTTTCCCGTCATTGGCTGAATGCGCATGCGCGTCATGAGCCGCGCGCGCATTCAGCCAGTCCATAGGAAAACATTCTCAATGCTTTCCTGTGGACGCTGGTGTCTTCTCTCGATGAGACAGCCACTAGATGCTGGATTAACCCATTTGTAAACATGGCAGTTTCTCTGAAACTGCTATGTTTACAGCAGAAAGGGTTAATCCTAGATGAACCTGGCACCCAGACCACTTCATTGAGCTGAAGTGGTCTGGGTGCCTATAGTGGTCCTTTAATACCAAGTAATTCCTTGGCAAACATTCAATGCTGAGGATTTGAGAGACGGGGTAGCAGAAAATGAATAACCTCTCAATCACATTTCATAAAAAGAAGCAGGGGAGCTTAAAAGTAAAACAGTAACCACGGGAGGCCATTCATCTCTATACAATGTATCCTGCCTATCCATGAAATTGGCTTCTTTCTCCATGATTGTAAACCCCTTTTGAGGATACGTAAAATAATTAGCCGAAAAAAAGAGTCTTAGGGTTATCTGTAAATTGAATTCCCAAATACTTAAAAGAGTCAGCAGCTGACAAATTCACAGGTTAATTGATCTTATATCCTGAAAGTGTACTAAAAGAATTAAGCAATTCAAACACGAGGGTAAAGAGAAAATTGAATCGGCAGTAAGTCAATAAGATGTCATCAGCATAGGCAGCTGCCTTACAGTTATACCCTGAACTGAGTTTTATTTTTTCAAATAAGATGGAGTAATGGGTCTAACAAAAGGGAAAGCAACAAAGGAGAAGGGGGACACCCCTGATGTTTCCCATTTGACAGTTCAAAAGGGTCTAATAGCCCTTCAAAATGGTATTGGAAAACTTCAACATACCAGCAACCGAATAAATGTGGGGGAAAAAAATAGTAAAAAGAAAAGCACAGACACATTTCCACTGGATAATAGTCCTTTTTCAAAGTGCATAGGTTGTGTCTCACTCTCCTATCATTTAAGTGTATTCATTGGCGTGCTTTAGGGCTTTGTTTCATGCACTTTTCAAATGCGCAGGAATCAACTTAACTCTGGCCATTGCCCTTAAAGGGACACTATAGTCACCTGAACAACTTTAGCTTAATGAAGCAGTTTTGGTGTATAGAACATGCCCCTGCAGCCTCCCTGCTCAATCCTCTGCCATATAGGAGTTAAATCCCTTTGTTTATGAACCCCAGTCACACCTCCCTGCATGTGACTTGCACAGCCTTCCATAAACACTTCCTGTAAAGAGAGCCCTTTTTAGGCTTTCTTTATTGCAAGTTCTGTTTAATTAAGATTTTCTTATCCCCTGCTATGTTAATAGCTTGCTAGACCCTGCAAGAGCCTCCTGAATGTGATTAAAGTTAAATTTAGAGATTGAGATACAATTATTTAAGGTAAGTTACATCTGTTTGAAAGTGAAACCAGTTTTTTTTCATGCAGGCTCTGTCAATCATAGCCAGGGGAGGTGTGGGTAGGGCTGCATAAACAGAAACAAAGTGATTTAACTCCTAAATGACAGTGAATTGAGCCGTGAAATTGCAGGGGAATGATCTATACACTAAAACTGCTTTATTTAGCTAAAGTAATTTAGGTGACTATAGTGTTCCTTTAACTTTGTTCTGATCACCCCAAAGCAGGCAATTAAAGTCCATAAGCAGAGTATAACTTATCCACAAACAAAAACGTCTCTTTTAAGGCAATTTAGAATATGGATAATGTCCTTATTCCTTATAAACTTTTTTTTAAAAACGATTAGAATACACGCCCTAATGTATAACATTAAAATCAAAAGATTATTTTTTTTCTAAAACTATTAATATGTTAATATATATATATATATATATATATATATATATATGTATAAAAAGGGGAAGAGTTATATTGAGAAATATTAAATATGTAAATTGTATAGATAATTTATCCAATTGCTCACTGGGTAAATGATTAAAAATGCCTGTAGCCTAAGAGAGAATTAAAGGACAAAAGAATGCACATTAATATAAATATTTATTCCAAGATATAATAAATGAAATAATATTACCATAAAATCAAGAGAAAATATATTTACCTTCATACAAGAAAAATATATAAAGTATTAGATATACATAAAAGAATGGAATACAAATGATATATATTTATTTTTTATATTTTTATGATAATACATAAGACAATTAATATTACTATGGGAAAAAAAGGCAATACAAAAGGGAAAAAAGGGGAAAGGAAAACATTTTCCTCTTTACTTAATCTCTTATAAAAATATAAATTATAAAAAAGATATAGCTTCAAAATCCATATTAAGGCCATTAGGTGTTATGGTATTTAAATGAAACATCTACCACATTTCTTGTTGCCCTCTAAATTCATGCTTTTTACATGTAGAACTTCATCTGCATCAGAACTTCACTGTGTCTAGATAGCCATGTATTGTTAGTTTTGTCTTCCATCTCATTGTTTGCTGTAACCACGGCATCCACCCTGTGTTGAAAATCCTTAATGTGGGTTCACAGAGATTCTATTTTGGCCTCGACACCTGTAGCCCTTTATTAAATTTCTTGGCCAAGTAGGCTCCATCTGCCTTCATTTGGTGAAGAAGACGGGCAATGTCATCTGAGTAAAACAAGGAGCTTGGTCGCATCGTACTGTTCCTTCATTGAGCCATGAGGGCACATATGAGTGCAATCTTGGACCACTGGTTGCATCAGGCAGGCTGAAGAAAATCAGGACACCCCCGAGGAATCCTTCTTATGAGACTTATTCTCCAAAGAGTTCATAGTTGGAACATGGTAAGTATGGTGGTTAGGGCTCTAGATTCAGCCGTCCATCTAGCAGCATGTCCAGAGCACACCCCTCATTTCTGTTTTTTAAATATTCCTTGTATAATTTCTTTTTTATGTCTTGTAATTTTATTGTTTGATTTGGATGGTTAATTGTGGTTCATTTGTAAGATAAATGCATTCGGAGTGTGTACACAAGTGAGGACTTTTGATTTGACAGTTTACAGAGGTTTACAAAGTATTTGTACATAAAAGCATTTTTTAGGTGATTATTACTTATTATTGATATTTATGTAAATATTCATTATACTTTTCAATATTTTTCTGAATAAAAATAAAAGATATACAGTTAGGTTCTGGAAATATTTGGACACTGACACAGTTTTCATAATTATGGCTCTGTACCACAATGGATTTAAAATGAAATAACCAAGATGCAATTGAAGTGCAGGTTTTCAGCATTAATTCAAGGGATTGAACAAAAGTATCAAGTGAACTGTTTAGGAAGTGCAACTAGTTTCATGCACAAATTGACAAATTAGCACAATCATAAATAAAATGTTAATTTTTTTAATACTTTGTCGAGAATCCTTTGTAGACAATGATTGCTTAAAGTCTGGAACACATGGACCACACCAAACATTGGGTTTCCTCCTTTGTGATGCTCTATGGGCTTTTTTAATTGTTGTTTTTCTGTGGGTCTTTCTGCTTCAAGTTTTGTCTTCAGCAAGTGAAATGCATCCTCAATCGGGTTGAGATCAGGTGATTGATTCGGCAATTGCAGAAAATTCCAATTCTTTGCTTAAAAAGCTTCTGGGTTGCTTTCACAGTATGTTTTGGGTCAGTGTCCACCTGTAAAGTTGTCTAATCAACTTTGCTGAATTGAGCTGAATCTGAGCAGGCAATATATCTCTATACACTTCAGAATTCATCAGGCTGCTTGTGCCTTCTGTCACATCATCAATAAACACAAGTGACCCAATTCCATTGGAAGTCATGCACACCCATGCCATCATCCTGCCTCCACTGTGTTTTACAGATGACGTGGTATGCTCAGGATCATAAGCTGTTCAAAGCCTTCTCCATACTTTTTTGTTCCATCATTCTGGTACAGGTTGATCTTACAACCTTTCACTTTTTATCCGCCCTTCACCTAATTTGGATGTGAATACCCTCAAATTAAAACTGAGAGACTGCACTTTAAGTCCATAAAGAATGCTGTTCCAGAACTAGCCCGGCATTTTTCTGGCCTTTCTATTTTTGAGGCTTATGAATGGTTTGCACTTTGCGGTGAACCATTTGTACTTGCTCTCGTGTAGTCTTCTCTTTATGGTAGACTTGGATAATGATCTGCATACTTCCTGGAGATTGTTCTTCACTTGACATGATATTGTGAAGGAGTTTTTTCTTTACCATGGAAAGAATCCTACAATCATCCAAATGCAAATTCCAAACCTGGATTTAACGGCAGGACTTTTACCTGTTTAATTGATGAAGAAATAATGAAGGGATAGCCCACACCTGTCCATGAAACAGATTTTGAGTCAATTGTACAATTACTTTTGGTTCCTTGAAAATGCAGAGGCTACATATTAAAGAGTTGTAATTTCTAAACCCTTCATCAAATATCAATGCGAATACCCTAAAATATAAACTGAGAGACTGCACTTTAAGCCCATGTTTATTATTTAAGCAAAAACACTATATCACAAAGTGTACACCACAAGTGGATATAAATAACAGTAATAATTTACCCTTAGAATATGTTGTAAATTGTAAGAAGATTCCGCATATCTTCTATATAAACCATAAAAATATGCAATCTATAGAAATGAAGAACGCAGATAGTATAATACTTTATTACACCAAAAGAAAATTAAGATGATATAATGCATTCCCAAAGGTACAATTGTTTGTAGGCACGTAGAAAGGATTTTAAATATATGACCTTCTTATTGTCTCTTACCTCACGTTCAATACATAAAGGAAAGAAGAGAAACATGCACATAGTGTAACAGTATAAACAAAATTAACAGCTTTATTGAAGTTGCACTCAGAGGATAAAAAAAACATACATTGCACATCACATATCACATATATTGCACATCACATATCACATATATTGCACAGTGAGCTGTTGGTGTGCAATGTTTTCTTTTATCCTGTGGGTGCAATTTAAATAAAGCTGTTAATTTGTCTATACTGTTACACTATGTGTATGTCTCTTTCATTTCCTTTCATGTATTGAACGTGGGGAAAGAGAAGATAAGAAGGTCATATATTTAAAAGCCTTTCTACGTGCCTACAATCAATTATACCTTGGCGAGTACAATTGATTGTAGGCAATGTATCACCTTAATTTTCTTTTGGTGTAATACAGTATTACACTATTTGTCTTCTTTATTTCTATAGAATGCATACTTATAATTTAAGTTGAATTTATTTTGGTAAACATCCAAAATAACAAAACATTAAAAAATATTTCCAGACCTAACTGTATACCTAACAACATACTATACCCAGTCTGTATCTTCAAGTCTCATATACTTAATAATTCCTCCAACATAAAATATTTTCCATTCTAGCTACATAGAGTTTCTATTTTTATCAATGTGCAAAATTGTTTTCTTTCATGCTCCGCTACCTATGATGTCTAGACACTGGATTATAACAGGGCAAATACAGAATGTTCAGTTCAGACTGATGTTTTTATTATGTTGTCAAGCTAGGCACTTGTTTAACCCCTTAAGGACTGAGGACAGCTCAGGACCATCATCGGCATTTTTGCATTGCCAACCGGTGACGGTCCTGAACCGTCCTAACGATCTTATGTACTTACCCGATCGCCTTCGTTCCCCCGGCGGCGATCGGCGATGCTCCTGGTGTGGGGAGACTGCCTGCAGCCTAGACAGTCTCCCCATGTCGGATTAGGGCCCCTGGGGCCATGTGATCGCTCAACACAGCGATCACATAGTCACAATAAGTGTCCATGTGTCTGCCTGCAGGGGGACTGCCTGTGCTGACAGGCAGTCTCCCTGCTAGTGTAAAATTAAAAAAAAAATTAAAAAGTTAATGTTAATTTAAAAAAAAATTATATATGTGTATATAAATATGATATATAGACATTTATTATATCTATATATTTCTATATATTATATATATAATGTCATACTAAGTGTATTTTTATATTAATATGTACATATATTAATATAAAAATACACCTATAATTAAATTACACGCGTATATATATATATATAATATATATAATAACTATATATATTGTATATATATTATTATAAAATACAAATAATAAGTAATTTAAATTAAATTAAAAAATGTAAAAATAATATCTACATGAAATTTTATTCTAACTGTATTTTGATATTAATATATATATCTTTATATCAAAATACACTTAGAATTAAATTGTATATATATCTATGTATATATAAATAAATAAAAATAATACGAAATATACAGATGTCCATATACAAAATTACATAAATAATTATATAAATATACACGTAGACTTCAAATATATAAATATGCTTATATATTTAAATTCTACGTGCGTATTTATGTAATATTTTTACATAATTAAGTAATTTTATTGATTGCAATTTGAGGGACCTGTCTGCCAAACCAGGCCAAAAGTCCAGAGAATTTAATTTGCTAGCACTGTATTTTACCCTGTAACGTTCTACGACACCCTAAAACCTGTACATGGGGGGTACTGTTTTACTCGGGAGACTTCGCTGAACACAAATATTAGTGATTCAAAACAGTAAAACATATCACAGCGATGATATTGTCAGTGAAAGTGACTTTGTTTGCATTTTTCACACACAAACAGCACTTTTACTGATGATATAATTGTTGTGATACGTTTTCCAGTGTTGATACACTAATATTTGTGTTCAACAAAGTCTCCTGAGTATACACAGTACCCCCCATGTACAGGTTTTATAGCGTTTTTGAAAGTTACAGGGTCAAATATATGGGTCAAATATTTTTACATTGAAAATGGCCAGGTTGGTTACGTTGCCTTTGAGAGCGTATGGTAGCCCAGGAATGAGAATTACCCCATGATGGCATACCATTTTCAAAAGAAGACAACCCAAGGTATTGCAAATGGGGTATGTCCAGTCTTTTTTAGTAACCACTTAGTCACAAACACTGACCAAAATTAGCATTCAATTTAGTTTTTTACTTTTTTCACACACAAACAAATATGAACGCTAACTTTGCCCAGTGTTTGCGACTAAGTGGCTACTAAAAAAGTCTGGACATACCCCATATTGAATACCCTGGGTTGTGTACTTTAAAAAAAATATGTACATGTGGGGTGTTATTCAGAGATTTATGACAGATAATAGTGTTACAATGTCACTATTGATACATTTTAAAAATGTATGTTTTGAAACTGCAATATCTTATTTGTACTTATAGCCCTATAACATGCAAAAAAATAGCAAAAAAGCATGTAAACACTGGGTATTTTTAAACTCAGGACAGAATTTTGAATCTATTTTTTCATTCGCTTTTGTAGATGAGTAAAAGATTTTCCAAGTAAAAGTCAAAAACCATGTATTTTTTTAAATTTTTCATCATATATTTTTATTTTTTTTCAATTAAATTACATGAGATTATATAAATAATGGTATGTAAAGAAAGCCCCTTTTTATCCTGAAAAAAACAATATATAATTTGTATGGGAACAGTAAAAGAGAGAGCGGACAATTACAGCTAAACACAAACACCACAAAAGTGTAAAAAGATGCCTGGTCACAAATGTACAACATCGCAAAAACAGTCCGGTCCTTAAGGGGTTAAAAATAGAGATTAGAACACAGAAAGTGGCCCAGTGCATCTGTTAACATACACAAGTAGATTCATTCATGTTTTTTATGCATGATTACAATTACCAAGAGCTTCATTAAACATATTGTATTGCAATTTTTTTTCCTTTAGTTGTCTCACCACTTTCTCTTGGAAGTGGGAGAGTACATGATAAAGATAAGAAATGTTTAGTTTTGATGTACAATCATAAATAAAATCAAAACAAATGTGTTTTCTTGATGATGTACCAGGTGTATCAAATCTCCTTAGAAAGGGTTGCCAGTTCATGGTTTAATATACACTGCTCAAAAAAATAAAGGGAACACTTAAACAACACAATGTAACTCCAAGTCAATCACACTTCTATGAAATCAAACTGTCCACTTAGGAAGCAACACTGAGTGACAATCAATTTCACATGCTGTTGTGCAAATGGGATAGACAACAGGTGGAAATTATAGGCAATTAGCAAGACACCCCCCAATAAAGGAGTGGTTCTGCAGGTGGTGACCACAGACCACTTCTCAGTTCCTATGCTGGTGGTGCTTTCACTCTAGTGGTAGCATGAGACGGAATCTACGACCCAAACAAGTGGCTCAGGTAGTGCAGCTCATCCAGGATGGCACATCAATGCGAGCTGTGGCAAGAAGGTTTGCTGTGTCTGTCAGCGTAGGGTCCAGAGCCTGGAGACGCTACCAGGAGACAGGCCAGTACATCAGGAGACGTGGAGGAGGCCGTAGGAGGGCAACAACCTAGCAGCAGGACCGCTACTTCTGCCTTTGTGCAAGGAGGAACAGGAGGATCACTGCCAGAGCCCTGCAAAATGACCTCCAGCAGGCCACAAATGTGCATGTGTCTGCTCAAATGGTCAGAAACAGACTCCATGAGGGTGGTATGAGGGCCCGACGTCCACAGGTGGGGGTTGTGCTTACAGCCCAACACTGTGCAGGACGTTTGGCATTTGCCAGAGAACACCAATATTGGCAAATTCGCCACTGGCACCCTGTGCTCTTCACAGATGAAAGCAGGTTCACACTGAGCACATGTGACAGACGTGACAGAGTCTGGAGACGCTGTGGAGAACGTTCTGCTGCCTGCAACATCCTCCAGCATGACCGGTTTGGCAGTGGGTCAGTAATGGTGTTGGGTGGCATTTCTTTTGGGAGCCGCACAGACCTCCATGTTCTCCCCAGAGGTAGCCTGACTGCCATTAGGTACCGAGATGAGATCCTCAGACTCCTTGTGAGACCAAATGCTGGTGCGGTTGGTCCTGGGTTCCTCCTAATACAAGACAATGCTAGACCTCATGTGGCTGGTGTGTGTCAGCAGTTCCTGCAAGATGAAGGCATTGATGCTATGGACTGGCCTGCCCGTTCCCCAGAGCTGAATCCAATTGAGCACATCTGAGACATCATGTCTCGCTCCATCCACCAACGTCACTTGGCACCACAGACTGTCCAGGAGTTGGCAGATGCTTTAGTCCAGGTCTGGGAGGAGATCCCTCAGGAGACCATCCGCCATCTCATCAGGAGCATGCACAGGCGTTGTAGGAAGGTCATACAGGCACGTGGAGGCCAAACACACTACTGAGCCTCATTTTGACTTGTTTTAAGGACATTACATCAAAGTTGGATCAGCTTGTAGTGTGTTTTTCCACTTATATTTTGAGATTGACTCCAAATCCAAACCTCCATGGGTTGAACAATTTGATTTCCATTTTCTAATTTTTGTGTGATTTTGTGATCAGCACATTCAACAATGCAAAGAACAAAGTATTTCAAAAGAATATTTAATTCATTCAGATCTAGGATGTGTTATTTTTGTGTTCCCTTTATTTTTTGAGCAGTGTATATAGACATCTATGCAAAATGTATACATCAGAATGGTACTGGTTACCAGTTTCATTGTTAAATTGTTTTTGAGTGGAGCGTTCAGCTGATGATCTCAGCCTATCACTGCACTCTGTCGTTGGTATGATTTGGTGTGACGTAAGGAGGAGTGTAACTGCAGAGTTGCAGGACTCCAACATTTTGACAGATTTTCACTGCTGTTTAACTTCACCATGTTTGATATCACATTATGGCCTGGTAAAGACCCTATTACTAGGTCAAAACATTAAAATGAATTTAGAAGGAGTGCTGGACCACTTGTTTTTTATCCTGATTCGCTATTTAGCAGTTCAGCAATATTTTAAAAGGAAACAGGGAATGGTTCCTTGGGAATACGGGCACCACAACTACCGTATTTTCCGCCGTATAAGACGACTGGGCGTATAAGACAACCCCCAACTTTTCCAGTTAAAATATAGAGTTTGGGATATACTCGCCGTATAAGACTACCCCTCTTCCAATGCACACCAAATAAAAATTAGCCATGATGTACAGTGAGCAGACAGAGCTACACAGCAAGACATTAAATAATGATACTCTGAAATAGTATTTAAAGCCCAGGTATGTGCCATGCTGTTTGGGCATATAATCCATGCCTGCTGGTCTAGCACACAGGAGGCTAATTGCGATATATTCTTTTTACTCCCCCCCTCCATTTTTTTACTCCCCCCCCATTCTTTTTACTCCCCCTCCCCCCCAATCCTCCCTACATTCTTCTCACCTCCCCTTCCCTGTGCAGATTGGGTGGCCGAGCTCCTCTTCGTCCTGTCAGTCCGGCCGGGTACCGTGCGGTACAGGAGATTCAGTTACCTGTTCCCGGCCGGACTGTAAGGAAGTGAGCACTCAGTGTGGCCTTCCTTTCAGTCCGGCCGGGAACAGGTAACTGAATCTCCTGTACCGCGTGGTACCCGGCCGGACTGACAGGACGAAGAGGAGCTCGGCCATCCACTCTGCACAGGGAAGGGGAGGTGAGAAGAGAGGCAGTGCGGCAGCTGTCTGAGCGCTCTCTATAGAGCACTCAGGGGGCTGCAGCATTAGAAGGGCCGGCGATGGGGGCGCAGGGAGCCATATAGACCCTATACCCGGCGTATAGGACGACCCCCGACTTTGGAGAAGATTTTCCAGGGTTAAAAAGTCATCTTATACGCCAGAAAATACAGTACTTAAATGAGCTGAAGTGATTTATGCTGCCTAGAGTGTCCCATTAAAGCAATTTTTTTTTCTTTCTAAAAACACCTTAGACACAGCTGGGTAATCCCTAAATCCTGGACTGGTAGGAGGGCGGGGAGCATGAGGGCTGGTTTGGGAACCACTGCTTTACAGGAACACTATAGTCACCAAGACCACTTCACCTTAATTAAGTGGTCTGGGTGCAGTGTTCTATTTATTTTAAGCTTGCCATGTAAAACATTGCAGTTTTTTATATTTTGTACATGGCAGGGTTTAATCCACCTCTAGTGGCTGTCTTCCTAACAACCACGAGAGGCATTTTTTCCTCCAGACTGAGTAAAAGTCTGAAAATCAAATGCTGTTGATAGCAGCATTTGTTTGGAGGAGTGCGACGTTTGGCTGTGCATGCACATTTCCAAAGTATTGCTTCTTTATGTGAAGAAATAGATTGGAGGAGATTCTGGGTGATATCAGTTGGGATGCCGGCATGGCCGGAGACGGAGTCACGGCACTGGAAAGGTTGTGAGTAATCTCTCTTTTAAACTTTTATTTTAGGCTTCAAATGAGAGTGAGCAAAAGGTAACCTCTAGTCCTGAAATAACTATTGTTATTTTCAGGACTATAGGTTCCGTTTAATAATAAGATTTATGGCCAACCTATTTAGTTAATTTCATGCATAACAGTACAGGAGCCATAGCAAAAAGAACAAGTAAGCATGACAGTTATTACAGAATGAGGCTGGCTGTGTTATATTCACACGGTAGGTTTATCAAAACAACGTGTATAATGTAAATCCAAGTTTTATTTTTTTTTATGCACTCAGCATTTTTTTATCGTCAGCGTTGTATTCGAAAAAGAAAAATATAATGCCAAGTAGTTGTCTCAATTAAAGTAAATATTCACTAACATTATGGCTTTGATTTAATATTGTTAGATACGTTTAGAAATAATTTAATATTTTTGGGTAATTAAAATTATTCTAAAATAAATTTAGAATTCTAAAATACGTTTAGAATTCATTTAATATTTTTGGAGATTAAAATTATTGTTTCACCATTTTAAAATATCAAAACAAACACGTTAAAAAAAAAATCTAAATATTTCAAAGTTAAAATAGTTTTCAATTATTAAATCATTTAAAAAAAATTTCCAAAATATTAAATAATTTGCTAAACTTATTCAACAATATTAAATCGAGGCCTATGTTCTGTGCGAATTTTGTTTTCCTGTATCCACAGACTCAAAATAAGACTGACTAGCAGATTTTTAAATTGCTTTTATCTTGATGAGTAGTGTCTACTTGATAACAATGCTTCTGTTACAGTTTCAACCATAGCAGTATCCAGGGCAACTAATGAATACTTACATTTTTTCTTACAAACATCTGTTTCCTTACAACTACATTAAATTAGTATGCAATGCCAATTTCATTGTTTTTAGCTAAACTGCACCTCCACTGTTTCATGAGTGGAGGTGTTATATGCGAATTCATGTAGGAGCCTGTCTGGTTGGTATAGAATAAGCAACACGATGGCCTCGATTTAATAAGCTTTCCAAATGACACAATACTATTAGGCAACATTCCAAATGATTTATCTACATAACTCCCCAATAAAGTCTGGAAATTTAGAAAGTGTTCTAACAATATTGAATGTTAGGCTGAAAAAAATCACCACAGGGTCTGGCAACCCTTACGCTGCTATGGATTTATGCACTAACACGTTTCTGCTTTCCTTGTATCTGTGTAATCCGCTGCTGGGAATACTCAAAGAAGTCACAGAATTTCATATGGATTACTAATAAGCATTCAAAGGTTTAATGCGTAGTACATCGTATATATAAAATACAGTTTGTCTAGGGGTGTATACATCAATGGCAATATCATCCAATCATAGGAGTCTCAGAACAGAACATAATTAGTTAGCTGTTAGTTACTTTCTTGTTAATGGATATAAGTGACAGTATGAGATTCGGAATCTAGCTACAATTTGAAGTTGCTAGAAAGAATGCTATTTTTTCCAAGTGCAGAATGTTTATAAAAGATAGCTGGCTCAAGGACACAAGAACGGAAACCGATTGTATCAGGGGCGGGCTGGGCCAGGGGGCAGGGAGGCAATGGCCCCCCAGGCCGCCCTAAATCATTTTAAAACCGTCCGCTGCAGGGCTGATTCTAATGCTGCAGCCGCCTGAGCACTCTATAAAGAGCCTCAGGCGATTGCATCGCTGCTTCTCTCCTCCCCTTCCCAGTAGCGTGGCCGAGCTCCTCTCAGGTTCTCAGTGCCCGGCCGGAGTGGTAGGAAGGTGCACACTCAGTGTGCACTTCCTGTCAGTCCGCCCGGGTAGAGGAAACAGAAACTCCTGTACCGTGCGGAGTTTCTGTTTCCTGTACCCGGCCGGATTGACACTAAGTGCACACTGTGTGTGCACCTTCCTATCACTCCGACTGGGCACCGCGGACCGGAGAGGAGCTCGGCCACGCTGCAGGGAAGGGGAGGTGAGGGGGGGAGTAACAGGTGAATGGGGGTGAGGCAAGAAGAAGGGGGTAAGAAGAAGAGGGGGGTAAGAAGAAGAGGGGGGGTAAGAAGAAGAGGAGGAGAAGAAGAGGGGCAAGAAGAAGAAGGGGTAAGAAGAAGAGGGGGGGAAGGATGGGGGGAGGTAAGAAGAACAGGTGGGGGAGTAAGAAGAAGGGTAAGAAGAACAGGTGGGGGTAAGAAGAAGAAGGGGGAGTAAGAAGAAGAAGGGGGTAAGAAGAACAGGTGGGGGGAGTAAAAAGAACAAGGGGGTAAGAAGAACGGGGTAAGAAGAACAAGGGGGAAGTAAGAAGAACACAGGGAGGAGGGGGTAAGAAGAACACAGAGAGGGGTGGGAGAGTAAGAAGAACACAAGGATGAGGGGGTAGAGTAAGGGTGAGGAGAAGGGGAGATGAGGAGAACGGGGGGACTGAGAAGAATACAGGGAGGGTGGGTGGTGAGGAGAACACAGGGAGGAGAGGGGGTAAGAAGAACACAGGGAGGGGGGAGGTGAGGAGGACACAGGGAGGAGAGGGGGTAAGACGAACACAGGGAGGGGAGGTGAGGAGAACACAGGAGGGGGGGGAGAGGTGAGAAGAACACAGGGGGGGAGAAGAACACAGGAGGGGGGGAGGTGAGAAGAACACAGGGGGTAAGGAGAACACATGGAGGGGGGGAATGAAGAACACGGGGTGTTTCCTGTACCCTGCCGGACTGACAGGAAGTGCACACTGAGTGTGCACCTTCCTATCACTCCAGCTGAGAAGAGCACAGGAAGGGTGGGTGAGTGTGAGAAGAGACCACAAGGGGAGGGTGGGGGAGAGGAGAGACCACTAAGGGGCAGGGAAGAGCTCTAAGGGACAGAAGGGAGAGCTCTATAGGACAGGGGGCAGGACAGGGAGCTCTTTCACACTACGCTCACACACACACACATAATGCATCCCTATACATACACAGAAACACAACATGCTTCCCATACACACAGAGAAACACACAATGCATCCATTACACACACACAATGCAACCCTTACACACAAAGACAATGCCTGAGAAGTCTACCATCAACCAATCCCAAAATAATTGTTAAATGACGCATGTCCCTTTAAGTTCATGCACTCTTAAAAATACAAATTCATGTATCAGTTTGTCATTGGATAAGATCAAACAAATCGGAAATCATTCATTTGGTGCAAAGCTACATTATAATTAATACAATATTAGCAGCTGCTTACGTATGCCTTTTTTATCATTTTTTATCTTTTTTTTTAAATCATTTTTTTATAATGTATTAAAGGAGCATCCATTGCACAATAACAACGTATGCTCCTTGCATGGGATATGAGGCAAGGAGGTTCCCTGTGTTATGGATATAAATTAATGTAGGTACAATGTTACCAAGTAAACTAACTCTTATGTCTGCTTCTTTTTTAGAAAGGCAAAATAATAATTAAAAAAAATTACGACTTTCATTTAACATGTATGATATATTGCAGAATATATGTGTATATTGTAATTTGGTTTGTGTTACTATAGCATGAAATTAACTCAAATGATAAGTAATTGTTCCAAATGATGACCTGTGTCATTGTAAATATAGCACTACCATTGGAGAAACAGGTAATAAAGTAAATAGGAGATTGGAAGTAAAGTTAATAGGACTTTACTTTCTCTCCTATATTTACTGTTCTCTCCTACATTTACTATTCTAAAGGTAAATATTCTTTAAAATATTTAAAATGTGTTATCTAAGCGTAAATACAATAAACATGGACGGGTCAACTGCAGTCTTGATTCTCCCTTTAAAGGAACATTACAAACGCCATGATCACTACAGCTCGATGTAGAGGTTATTGTGCCAGAAGTGCCCTGGCTCTAGCCCCATGATAAGGATTGAAGCCATTTTTGAATGGTTGGACTTCTTACCTGAGGTCCTCTGGGTGTCGCTTTCCACCTCTATTACTAATACCAGTGAGAGCTTCAGCTCAGGCTCTCATCCAATCACCGCACTAGAAAGGACGTTTCCTCAAACATAGATTTGCGGGATTCCATTCGCTAGTGAACTGGTCTATGTTCGGGGGAATTCCGCCGAATGTAGACCTGCTTTCTAGCACATGCTTGCTACCATTTTCCCCAGAAATAAGACATCCATTGAAAGGAGCCTTAGTGCATTTTTAGGGGGAAAATTAATATAAGACCCGGTCTTATTTTCGGGGAAACACGGTAGTGTGAGGTCTTATGAATCATATAACATATACTTGGGGTAGACGAACCTCGGCACTCTAGTTGTGTTTTACTACATCAACCTGGATACATTGCCACCATTATGGATGTAAGAGCTTTATGGGAGATGTAGTCCATCACATCTGAAGTGCCGAAGATTTCTTACCTCTTATATACACAATAGAGTTATGCAGTAAAATCCATTCAGATGCACAGAGACTGCTATAGAAAACTTTGCAGATGGTTCTCAGCAATCTATACTCTTCCAATACATGGATTTTCAAGAATTCTGTCCATCATTTGGAAATACTTTTATTTCTAGTTTTGTAAAACATACCACCAAGTTGTACCCAAGAAAATAACCTGTATATCTGGAATCATGGTGTTTACTATAATGATTTGCCACCCAGCTTTTTGTCTGAGCAAAAATATAGGATACGAAATTTTACGAAATTTAAATATTTGTAAATGTGCTTCTGTATACTCTTGGTGATCACTGGCATGTAGCATACTTAGCTACAACTGAACATTTTACATTTCATTTCCTTGCTCGCCTGCAGATGTTTAGTTATATTGTGCACTAATGTACCCGCTAAATTACTCTGCCATGTGTAGGTGTTGTGTTCATCCTGCTGGGATGTTTTGCTGTTTCAACAATAACAAGCAATATATTATTTTGGTATGAAATATTTAGAGCAACGTCCTCAATACATGTCACATTTTTATTAGGGTAAGCATGAGTCATACATAGTATTTGTGGAAAAGGAGAGCAATTTCATTATAGTCTCTTTGGAAAACATATTTGTGTCACTGTGTTCACAAATTTAATTTCAGCTTAAAGGTCTTGTCTACAATTTACATTTTGATTTATTTTTAAAGGGACACACAAGGTACACTAGACAATATAGTGGTTATGGTGCCACGTTTCCATGGGTGCGTCTATTAGTAATCTGTCAAAACATTTAGAAACGATTTGACACTCAATGAAGTGGCATGGGTGCAGTTCCCCTGTTTTTTTAACCCTGCAATGTAAACGTTTTCAGTTTAGGCAATGTTTCCATTGTAAGGCAAAACCTACCTCTAGTGGTTGTCTTCACGAAATCCACTAGAGATGCATCTGCTTTGACAAACAAGGCAGACTGGGCTATCACAGGTTAGCTTCTCATTGAGAAGGTTAGCAATGCTCTTCAATGAGGAGAATTGGATTGGACGAGAAGATGAACAGTCTTCGCTGAAAAAAAGGTAAGTAATTATCTAAATCATACCTAGAATCATAAATTCTGTGGAGAATACTGTAGCATTAGGAATACAGGTTTGTATTCCTAATGCAATCGCGTTCCTTTTAAATCATTTGGCATATATCCAGTTAAAGCAAAAAATAATAATGTTGTTTGATCAGAAGGAAATTTCATACAACTGACTACCCTATCCACATATAATTACATGGCAGTGTAGCCTTAAAGAAGAATTTTTGGAGTCTGATACAGTATAGTGTCGGGAAATAATTCTGAAATCAGATTTAAAAACTGATGTGTGTGAATCATCAACCCTGGTTTGATATGGGTTTCTAGAAGTAGGAATACTTTCAGTCCAATGCTAGTTAGCTTCTCATCTCCGGGAATGATAAATGCATCATATCAGAACTTCACTTAAGTCCCATCTTGTCAGTTCCCACCTCACAAGCTGGTTTCCACCAGTCCATTCAATTTACTTTCCATAATATATCTGTTCACATCAGTTACCTACGCCTGTCTTATCCATATAAGTAGAGCTTATCTTCTTTACACTATTCAATATCTGACTCCATTGTTCAATCTCTAAAGAGCAAGCAGACACAGAGTTCCACTTCACTGTTCTCCTTAACGCCACTGGTGGCATCAGTGCTGTAGAATCACTGTCACTAGGTTATATCAATCCACACTTACTAATGCCTTCAAAATAACTGGATCTCTTGTCTTCTGATGTTTATAGAAAAGTACAATTAATATTCAGTAATCAACCGTAACATAATCTGAACTAGAGCAATGGCACATTAAATTTGTGATATGTAATATATAGCATACATCCTAACAGTGGAAAGTATGCAATCGGGACAGGGTGAGAGGGGCATCACCAGTGATGTCAACATTGTGACTGTCCCATGGAAAGCGGCATAGTTGGTAGGTATGAGATAGGCATTTGAAACTAAAATAAAAAACGCAACTTGGGGGGGGCAGGGCCTGACCAGCATGGCCGACAGAAGTGTATGCAGAGAGCTCTTCTCACAAACCAAGCTTAAACTAACGCAAAACAGGATGCAACCCCAAAAACAGCAACCAAACAGTCAGTACACTGTACCTATGCGATGGGGGTCACCCACAGACTACTCCGGAGACTCGCCTGCTGAATTGCAGCCAAGAGATGCGTCTGAGGCCTACACGTATGGAGGGGCTCCCGGGGGAGAATACGGCCGATCCTCCAACCTGAGGCCACCGGGCTAATACAAGCGAGCCGTTCCCCTCCCTCTGGACCGGTGGGGGTCATCCCGGTCCCTGCTGGGGAAACAGCAGCAGACCATCAAGCCACACCGCCTCTTCCCGCTCCCTGGCCGCAACCAACACGGCCGACGGAGCAGGGAAACACGATGCAGCAACCTGGGAAACCAACTTTAATGCTGAATTCTATAGGATATGTGCAGCGTTCTGGCGCCAGATTGCAGCCCGCACAGAGCAGACGCAACCGCATACCACCCCTACCTTGCAGCTCCAGACAGCAACCATCCCTTCTTCTGAGCGGGGCACTCATGTGGAGGCACCTCTCCTAAGCCAGCCAAACATCCGGGGAGACATCCGCAAACGGGAGAAACCCGGGGCCCACGACCCTCGAAAAGGGACCGATGGCAGGACGGCACGAGTGCCCCTTAAAGCTTCAGGCCGAAGGCGTGTAGCATGCTGACATCACGGGGCCGGGAACAGCTGGAAAAGACCAACACCCAGGTCAGCCAAAAGATCCCACGCCACGGAAGGTCTGTCTGGCGAAGCACTGCTGACCCATACTCACACACGGGTCAGACAGAGCCCCCCCCACACGACCGGATGACCAGACCTCCCGGGGGCCTCCACACTTTCCCACCCTGCGGAGTGGGTTGAAAACAAGCATCAACGCTCGAGCCCAGATCCAAACGGAACCACATACAGCCCCAAACAACCGACCCGGAACTGGAGGTTTTCCTCGCAATATGACTCCATAACATAGCAATACACAGCCCTGGACTCGCACCCCCAAAGTGTCTTGATGCCACAAACGGGCACTGTAATCTCAGGGGACTTAGAAATGTTTTTGATTGCATATGAACCCTGTCCAGTATGTTCAGTACTCAAATGTTTTCCCTCATCTTTATATCTACCTACCCAATCCCCTGCTCCTAAAGGCAAAAGCGTTACAGCACTAACCATAACAAACTCTCCAACCCAGCAGACATCTCACACTGCATACATATACAGTACACCTAAGCCTTGTTCCAACCTGATAATCACCACAAATATGTTTACAATTCCGCACAGGGGTTAGAAAAGAACCCTACCATAAGCCTGTTTATATCTTTAACTGTTTATCTACCTAACCTGCGACTTGTTTCCTTCTTCTCTATAAAATAGAAAATGGTACATGTAATAACAGATACCCCTATTGTAAGCATGACAATACGCATGAGAATGCCATTGGGGTACCTCATGCCTGCCTGTAATAATTTTATGCACTGCAAAAATACAAAAAAACAACAAAAAAAACAAACGTAACTTTGAAAATGAAAAGAAGACATAAACAACATGAAGAAAAAAAGTGTGAACATAAAATAAAAAAGAAGTTAAAAGTACATGAAAGAGTTACTCCAAACATTTAAGTGCTTTGAAGTGGTCATGGTGCCTGGAATCTGTATGTTCTGCATTTTAGAATGGAACGTACATACAGAGTATTACCCCCTTTGCTGTTTGTTTAAGTCGACCTCCACCAGCCACTGTCAATTCTGTGCACAGTATATCATTGGGCTGATAAATGGTGACTGGAATGGCTTTTGGCTTTCACAGATCTGCAGAATCCGGAAGTGCATCATCCAGCATGACAGAAGCCAGAGCCTGGCGAGAGTCCAGGAAAGAGAGCAAACCGTTGCTAATCAGATGCCAGAAGAACTGGGCCAGGGCATCTTAACCACTGCATTGGGCTGTATATCAACTTAATATTGTTTTATATTTTTGAGTGGTCTGAAAATATAGCTTACATTAACTGCAGTACTAGTTTCTGCAGCTACTGTTGCAGTTGTAAGCCTTCTTTTTATCCAACCCAGACTTGAGAAACATCTGATCAAACAAAGTCCATCACAGATGGGACAGATCTCTCATTGAGAAGATTTGCCAACACATCATCATGCATGCATATGACGAGCCAGCTTTTTGGAATAGCAAGTTTGCATTGTTTGATTAGAAAGCTTCGAAAGCGACTCTGCCTCTTCCATGTTGAACTATATTTCAAAGCAAGCAAAACAAAGCCACTTCTAGCTGTCTCACTGACAGCTGGGAAGGTGTGAAAAAGTTATTTTATAAAAGCACTACATTTTCTTCAAATAGACACTTTTATTAAATAAGCCTGCAGGGACAGACAAATGAACCCTAAAATAAGTCAGGAAGTTGAAATGCTTTATATGCTTGTAGTATTTCTTTAATTATTATTTTATTATTATCTTATTATTTATATAGCGCCATCAGATTCCGTAGCGCTCAGCGCTAGTTATTAGGTACTGATGTCAGCATTATGTCATTGGGGAAGAGAATATTTCTCATGGAATCCCTGTGTTACAGAATAAGACTGTGTAATGGTATGGGCATATTATATTTGTGTTAGCGCACAGTTCCAGAAAATAGCATCTGCTGTGTCCTTATCATTGGCCATATATTTCATTCATCAAATGACAATATTTTAAACATTATTACATGTTCTTTACCATTACTAATAATAAAAGTACATGTTTTCTTAATGAAACATTCTACCTGTATATAACTTGTTGCAAATTTACGGTTTAGTACCAACCAATATTTATAGTGTGTTTATTAGCCTTCCATGTTAAACGCCACAGTTAATCAATAGATTCACTATGTATACGGATGCATCAAATGACTCTTCCTGTGACCCCTTATTGAATATCAGGCAGATAAAATTTAAACAGTTATTGATCATGCATTTGTAAATAATGAAGTAATTGGTTGAGATGTGGTGAGATGTTTCTGATAACCTTTACACAACTAATCCTTTACCTTATTACGGGCCTGCTTGTTCCTAGATATGTACAGATATTCTGGCATTTATTTATATACAAAAAGCACATGCCTGTCTGTACGTGTTACACAGAAACATGGATGGTGATGATTCATACAGTTCGATGATATCTCACATTTACATGAACATTTCACTTTGCTCACTAGACTTGTATAGATTTACAGTTGCCTGCTATTAGCCATCATCTCTTTGAAAGATCAATACTTTTTGAATCAGAATTGACAAAAAAAAAAAAATCAAAGCAAGATTAATATTTACCGCTTGTCAATATGATACAACAGAGGAATATTGGCACTTCTAGATGATGATGTGTGGCCCTTTACCTCTTCTGGGATTATCATATTAATTTAGGTCTGAATGTAAGATAAGTTTTTATTTTTAATTCCAAAAATGTGTATGATATTACACAAATTCACAACACACAAAAGATCACCATTGTGAGCTGATATTAAAAGTTTGAGATGAGGGTATTTTTTTGAAACTAGAACCTAAAAGAAGCTATTACATGTGTTATTCATTTTTATCCATGTATATTTTAATATCTGAATACAAAAAAAACATATGCTGTGATCAGGGCTGCCATCAGAAATGTTGGGGCTGCTTACACTGCTCAAGGTCTGGGCCCCTGAGTCTGCCCACAGAGTCTACCTTGAGTCCACCTTGAAATGCAGTGTGTGTGTGTGTACTGGATGCAGTGTGTGCGTAGTAAATGAAGTGTGTGTGTAGAAAATGAAGTCTGTATGTAGTAAATGAAGTATGTTTAGTGAATGCAATGTGTGTGTAGTAATACAGTGTGTGTAAAGTGGATGAAGTGTGTGTGTGTGGGGGGGGAGGGGGGGATGGAGAGAGTGTGTGTATGTAGTGGATGCAGAGTTTTTGTATAGTGGATGCAGAGAGTTTGTGTAAGATGCTAGGGATGGAGGGCACAATAATAAACCACACATAGAAAAGGTAAGTATGATTAGAATGTATACTTAGTCACTAGTTAGAGTGTGTGTGTAGTGGATGCAGTGTGTGTATAGTGGGTGATGTGTGTGTGTATAAAGTGGATGCGGTTTGTGTAGTGGATGCAGTTTGTGTGTAGTGGATGCGGTGTGTCGTGGATATAGTGTGTATAGTGGATACAGAGTGTGTGTTTGTGTTGTGAATGCAGAGTGTGTGTTTGTGTAGTGGATGCAGTGTGTGTAGTGAGTGCAATGTGTGTGTAATGGATACAGTGTGTGTAGTGGATGATTAGTGTGTGTGTAGTGAATGCAGAGTATGTGTTTGTGTATTGGATGCAGTGTGTGTAGTGAGTGCAATGTGTAATTGGATACAGTGTGTGTAGATATAGATACAGAGTTGAAATCTGAAGATTGTTTGCTGGGCCCCCTCTTCACTAAACAGGCAGCTGGGGGCCCACATAATCTCCATTTATACTGCCCAGTACAGCTACATTGGCTGTACCCCCCTGATGTCAGCACCGTCTGTGATTAGCCCCTGGTTGGTTACTGTGATTACGGCAGTGTGGTGAAAGTGGCCTCACCACTGGTTTTTGGAGGGGCCTGGTTGCCCGCCTTCTACCTTTTGACTGTGGCCCCTGGGAGAGTTTGCCCTTTATAAACATTGTTTGGGCTTATTTGATTTTGGGACACCTTTTCTGCCCCTTTGAATCTATGGGAAGGTGTGCCTCTTCCCCTCCCCCCGATTGTTCTCCAGCAGGGCCTTGTCCCAGGGACCCTGCCAGACCAGACAAGTTTAAACTGGCTGCTTTGTACCTCCTCGGTCAAAAAAAGGACTTCCAACTAACTTTTTAACTACTAAAGGGAATTGTCTGAATTTTGGATATGTTTATATTTGAAGTGTGCTGATTGATAATATTTATGGAGATTGGATGTATATTTTAGAAGTTATAAGAATTGTGTAAAACTGTATTTTCCTGCCTGTGATAATTACATTAACCCATTGTGTACAGTAATTATATCACAGGCAGAGGGGAGGATTTGTTTGTCCTGACTGGGAGTGTTTAACTGTATTATAGTGTATTTGATTGGCTGTGCTACAAAACCATGTGGGTGGTAACATTGTGTAAAAATGTGTATATAAGAAACAATAAAGCCCCAGCTCAGTCTGTTCCTGTTTACACTCCAAACTGTGTGTCGTCCAGTTATTGGAAGGAAGAATATTTGCTCCTGTGTCTGCTGTTCCAGCTTGCAGGAGATTCAACGGGGAAAGTCCTTGTAAGGACTAGAGCTAATTCCCCATTCGCTTCCAGAGTTCCCAGGACTGAGTAGCGTCCAGTGCCTGGAGGTGTCTGCTGGAGTGCTTGGAGCCCTCAGGAAGTGCTAGGAGCATCCTTCAACGGAGGTACCCAGTCAGGGTGCCGGGTGATCTGTTACATTGGTGGCAAGTGGTGGGATGGCGTCCTAGCGCAAGGAGCAGCACCTTGGTATCGTATGAGAATCTATTGAGGGCAACGCTAGCCTCTGTGCAGCGTCCCTACCTACAGCAATATGGAGGAGAAGTTTCTCGACAGATTACATGGCGTCCTAGCCCAGAGGGATTGGGCAGTCTCAGAAGAGGAGATGTGTGGGCACAGAAATGAGGCCAGAGCCGAACTATGGGAAGAAGCCCGGGAGGAAGTCCAGTATTGGCGAGGTGATCGTCCACTCAGCAGAAGGAAGTGAATACATGCCCGAATGGAAGAGCGGATCCCTGTCTTGGGTAAACAACCCCTAGGAGCGTGGGTGACTAGACTCGAGATTCTAGTATATGCAGAACTGCTCGACAACGCATACCAGGCGATACAGTGGTACGCAGCTCAGTGTGTCCCAGAGATGGCAGAGTATGAGTTCCTGGAGGGTGGGGATTACGATGGCCCTGGCCTATTTTGGGATAATATTGACGATGAGGACTTCGTTAAAGCTACCGACTCTTTTGTTTTTGGGACCTGTATTACGACTGGGAAGACATGCTGGGTCCCCCTAGCACTATGGACCTCGAGGCAGACCTGCGGGATCTGGTCACCAAGGAATGGAACCTGGAGTGGGATTACCTGCAACTCATCAATGGGAGAGACAACCGGTCCTCTTCCCCAACAGCAACTAGAGGTACCCGAGGTAGCAGACCTCATAGAGAGCAGGCAGGTGGAGATGGGACCGAAGTCTCTCTACCAGCCCTACAGAGATGCTGGGCAGTCGGCCCAGATGTCCAGCGGCAGTGTGTACCCTTGGGAGAGGAGACAGTCGGTCTCCCTCCCCATCAGCCAAGTGTGTTACAGGGAGTGGAGACAATTGGTCCCACTCCCCAGCCTGCTGTGCGTATCGCAGGGAGAGAAGTGTGTTGTCCTTCCCCCCTCAGTGGCAGAGTGTATTATTGGGAGAGGAGACAGTCGGTCTCTCTCCCCAGTGGCAGTGTGTATCCTTGGGAGTGGAGACAACCAGTATGTTTCCCAGGGAGCTGAAGGTGTCGTCCTTCCTCCCCAGAGTTCCCAGGACTGAGTAGCATCCAATGCCTGGAGGTGTCTGCTGGATTGCTTGGAGCCCTTAGGAAGTGCTAGGAGCATCCTTCAACAGAGTTACCCAGTTGGGGTGCCAGGTGATCCGTTACAGGCAGCCTTAATGGTAAAAGTGGACAAAAACTTCAAAGGCTTATCTTGTATAATGACCTCCGTGTTATCACTGATCAGTAACTCATTATTTATTCAAATACCTTGAAATGTACATTATTCAGAGAAGATTCAGTTATTGCATTGCTTTACACACCAGAAACTTTCTTCCTCTGTTGTTTTCTTTTTTCTATGATGCCACCTACAACCACAATTATTTATTTACTGGAGTCGTATTAGTTTCACTGTAAAGATTAATAAGAAAACAATAGAAAAAATACTTTGAGTCTTAACAACATAGCTAACTTTTTAAGCTACAGTCGGTGTTCATTAAATAGTCAACTTGCACAGAGTTGTGGAACAAAGATAATATATTCAGCTGCTTCCAGAACTACAGAGTAATATCTGTAAGATATGTGGTGTAATCAAACATCTCCAACACAGTGCAAGCATTAAAGGATTTACAGTGGCTTTACTAGGGTGGTGTTACCAAGTGCAGTTATTTATGAAGAAACCCCGTATTGACCTCCTCCTGTACCAGACCATGAGATCACTGGTGGTCTATTGGTGAGCTCTTCTGGTGTGCACATTCACTGAATGCAGACATTGTATATTCTTGTTGCGAGTTCCAACTTTCTGATAGTGTCACCATGATGTTACCTGGGTAATGCCCCGATACTATCTGTGATAGTGACGGAGCGAACAAAAGGGATATGAAAGGCCTATACCCAATGAAGGTGCAGACCAGAAGGTCCCTGGGCCTTGTGGAGTGGGTACACTGGGCTGGTGACAGACATCTTTAATGTGCAATTTCACTTGCTAAAGTAATAATAATGACTCAAATAAAATATTTTCTTAATAGGATCCAAAGAGTTTTAGTTTTAAGTTGCGGTAGTTGTTAAAACTAAATTTTAGAAGTGCAAAATAGATAAAGGCTTTTTTGTAATAAATTCAGTGGAATCTGGGAGGGTATTATTTTTCAGACTTGGAACAACTTGTCTTAAAGGGGAACTGCCCCTTCCCAGCATTTGCAATATTATGTTTACTTAACCCCTAGGTTTAACAAACATGTTTGTGCGTTCTGAATGTAAAAATGGAATGCAGAAATTCACACTGCTGTATTTACCTCTATGTTGGAACAGAGCATTTCCAAATGTTATAGGTGATATTCAGTGTTTTATATTCCAAAAAAAGTGACGGTTCCCCTTGAAAATTGAGCTCTGGCTGTTGATAAGTGGGCACTTGGTATTCTTGATTCTAATGAACTTGCTTATTGAATGCACCTATTGGTAGTATACTAAACCAGTATACCTGGGGGCCTGCTTGTGTATGCATGTACCTGTATAATGATAGCTGTCAGTTTGTAGGCCTTGTTTGCTATGACTGATACGTGTTAAATAAATGGTTGATGCTGGGATTATGCAGCTATTACAATCTATTATTAGTGGTACTTGTTTGAAATAAAAGTTGGAAAATTCAAAAGAACACTATAGCGGTAGGAACGCAGCTTCTGCTTCCTGTGATGTCTTCCTCATCCTATTTTATGCTTCTTATAGAGAATTAATGGGTATGAGAAGCACATGCCTAGCAAGCACCGTGCTCATCCAATAAAATGCTTCTTATAGCAAAGCGCTGAATCCAATGTTTCCATATGTAGCCTTTAGAAGACGTTCAATATTGTTATGCAATGCATGAGGACCTTGAACTTCACACAAAACTGGGTCTGACTCTGTTCCATAGTAGCTGAACTACCTTCTAGTGAAAGACAGCCATGAGAGGTGTTTTTAGCCCAGCAATGAAAACATTGCCTTATGTACAAAACGGCAATGGTTTACATTGCAGAATGTAAATAACAGGGCCCCTGAGATGAAGTCATTTGGGTGCTTGTAGTGGTCCTATAGTATGGCACTGTTTTTCATAATGGTATATATATATATATATATATATATATATATACACACAAATGTAAGTAGTTTGGCACTCTCCTCCTCTATATTCTAATATATCTCCCTGGGTGCAATCTGTGATGCGTCCAATATGTAAAAAGATAAGAATCCACGATGCACTCACACGACTTGGTGAAACAATAACCTTGAAAAAGACCCGCAGGGGTCGAAACGTCGGTTAGTTCGTTTTGCATTATGCACATAATTTAAATAAATTAGAGAATATTGTTTCACCAAGTCCTGTGAGTGCATCGTGGATTCTTATCTTTTTAAATATATATATAAAGCCAATAGAACTACACTGAACAATAGAAACAGGCCTTTTGTGTACATGGAAAACGTCATAGATCTTTGAGTTCAGCTCATGAAAAATGAGGACAAAAACAAAAGTGTTGCATTTATAATTTTGTTCAGTGTATAATTTAACAAAAATACTAGCACAAAATAAGGACCACTTTGTCAAATGGACAAGTCATTTTTTGGCATATTTTGGAAAAAGGTTAAGTTTTAAATAGTTTTTGGCTGTCCCACATTTTGCTGTTTCCCATCAGTCATCACTTCAGCACCTGATAGAAGCAATCATATTGTAATGATAGTCAGGACATGACAATGGCACCTAAATTTAAAAGATCCTTGAAGAATCTTGCTTATGTTCTTCAGTAGACCTCCATTTTGTTCTCATAAACATGTATGAGAATGCACCAGTGACATGACTCCTGGCAGGAGATGAAGATAGAGCTGAACTGGTGGCACTTTGAAAGAAAGAGCTTCAGGCTTCTGTACCTACATTACATTTCCCATACTCATCTACCACTCTAAGTGCCACCATGCAAGCTGTTGATAGGTGCTGCAGAAGTCAGTGGTAGGGACAACCTCCGTTTACTTGAGACTGCTCCTTTAAGTGTGTGACCCCAACAATGTCTTAGGTATTTTTATTTTAAGATGGACTAATGAAGGGAGAGGTCACTGGGAAGCAAGACAATTATTGATGGATAGACAATTAATTAATAAATGAAGGACGATAAGTAGTGGTAGAACATCCATATATGATTCTTTCTTTTTATATTTTCTCCGTTAAGAATGAAGTTGAGCTGGGAGAATTACTTCTGTCTCTTAACTATCTGCCAAGCGCTGGAAGATTAAATGTGGATATTATACGTGCAAAACAACTTCTTCAAACAGACATGAGCCAGGGATCTGGTAAGTCCGTTACAGTCTGGCTGGTTTGTTAAGACAATACCTGCTACGATAGCTCAGTGGTATACACAAGCAGATGTACAGTACATATGATTATACTGACAGCAATGTATTTAACTTTAGCTGTTGGTGTTTATTTATAGAATATTTATTAATATAGATGCCTGGCTAACAGCAAACACATTGTAAAGTAGACTCTTATGTTTGTCTCATCATCTTTGTCTCTGTTAATGTTCTGTTCCTCTGTACTCCATACTTCCCAATATTTGAAATGGACAAATGAGGGACACTTTAATTTTAGGAGTGTGAATGAGGGTGTTTGCCAGGCGCAAGTCTCTTCTAAGATATTTTAGGTAACTTCCAAAAACAATTTATGCAATTTAAATGTAATTTACAACAAGAACAATGTATCGTATTTATACAGATTGATTGCTACACATTTATTGTAGTTTAAAGACACATTACTGGGAGTATTATTGTGTTATAGCTCTGTTACACACACCAATAATATGGAGCTCTTAGAACAGAGGAACATTAGGATAGAAATGAGGTACATGAGAGATATGTGCCCAAACTTGGGACTGTCCCTACTAAATAGGAACACTTAGGAGGTATGGAACTATGCAGCATCTCACATCTAACACTTCCAAGCAATTACCATACAATTTTCTAACTGCCTGGTCATCGCGTGATGTTAAATATGTTTAGCAATAAGTTCTTTCACGAAAGCTTAGAGAATAAATGAATTCTTGCCCTTTATGTTAGTCTATCTTTATCTATGTCTATTTATGGCTTTGTATAGCACACACACTGGGCATGATTTGCTTCCATGCATTCAGAACCTGCAAGGACAGCCTGATAGGAAGTAATGACACCTTCATCGATCTTCTAACCCCATCTCAACCAGCACTAATTTCAGTCCGCAATATCCATAAACCCACTCATTTTCAAATTTCCCCTGTATTCTTTTCCCCAAACATTAAAATTTTTTGTAAAAGCTAAATGTTCCCTTCCTGGTTAACTGCTTTCATGTTATCATTAGTATTTTTTTTGTCATTTGCTGGATTGAAAAATACTAATTTCAAATCTGACTACTAGTCTTTATGGAGAGAAAAATCACATTACTCCCTTTTTTCCATCATGTTTATGGTCATTATTGCAGGGGTGTTTTGTTTTTTTAAACTTTTTTTAAAGTTTAGTTTAAAATGTAAAACATTTAGTTTTCTTTATTCCCATAGATTTGCATTATCATTGTTTGCCTTGCTTCGGAGGACATAGGCACCGAGCTTTGTGTAATTTATACATGATTTTTTTCATTTCAGATCCTTTTGTGAAAATCCAGTTAGTACACGGGTTGAAATTAGTGAAAACCAAAAAGACATCCTGTATGAGAGGAACCATAGATCCTTTCTACAACGAGTCCTTCAGCTTTAAAGTCCCGCAGGAAGAGTTAGAAAACGTCAGTTTGGTTTTTACTGGTAAGATTATCAAGCGTTTTTTTTCCGGTATAAATGCTTTGTATTGATGAACATAAATGACAAAGTATCATCATTTGCAAAACCCCAAATGTCATAGGTATGGAAACATGAAAATATAAACGATACAATTTAAGCAGAATTTCTTCTTAGGCTGAAGAAAACAAACAAACATATAAACATCCCCTTACTTGGCCGATACTCCCAAAACCAAAGTCACCACTTGTCCAGCGCAGTCCCAGAAGGTGCTTCGCACCAAGTAAGGGATAAGATTGACACCCTTATTGAATAGGAACGGGTGACTGTCCTACTACCAAGCATTGTAGGTACCAATTAGTGAATTAAAATATCAGCTAAATGTGGGCCTTTTAAAATCCTATCAAGTTACTCTATATGTTTTTGCAAGTATTCATTCAGTTGTTTAAACATCTGTACAAACTCTGAAAAAAAACACCTCTTCACCTCTCCTTTGCCATAGACTAAATCTCCTTTCTTCCAGTCTAAATGCGTGACCTAGTGTCCTACGTATATTCCTGTTTTATTTTATTTAGATTTTATTTTTTTTGCATATATTTGTAATGCATTGTGGATATCATGTATTCAAAGTGGGTATTAGCTGATTAATGTAGTTGTGTCAACATGTACTCTACTACATGTCCCATCAACATCTGTTGGGCAGGGTTCTACTGAAAATGCTGAGCTCTCATTAAAATAATAGGAGTATAAAGACTAGTTGAAACACTTCCTGGTTTGGTGAGAGCTTACTGCAGAAAATACAAATCCCGAAGTTTTGCAGCAAATGATGAAACTTCAAAAGTGAGTTTTTATTTTAGATTTTTAATTTCGTTCTTGTATTTGCATATTTATAGTTAAATAACCCATTAGGAATGGGGGTCAAGTACACTCTAATAAACATTTCGTAGATGTTACTTACTTCTTAGTCACAGGCAGTGTGAAGAAAACCTTATTCAGCATATTAATGTGTTTGCAAATATGTCACCGTTAAAGTGCCGGTGAGCAGCAGTTTCAGAGTTGCCCTTTCATGTTGGAAGTGTTTTTAATACACAACCTGTAATTAAGAGCTTATTAATATTCAACACTATGCGGATGTATGCGACTCAACAGCTCCAATACAAAATAAAGCTGTTGGTTCCATTTAGCTATTAGATAAGTGTTTTATATCCAGCTGCCATGTATTTTTGTTTAATATATGTGACTTGCGCATGATGCATTTAAAACTACAAATTTTGCAACTTTGTAGGATCTGTACCCAGGTCTGCAGATAGAGGAAGATATTTCATTATGCAATTGTGTGTTTCCCATCTGGTCACTGCAGATGTGATGCATCCACCAAGATCTTTTAAACGTCTGTCGGCTGCAGTGCAAAACCAGCTTTTATCACGCTGCAGGGAAATTAATATACCTGCCTGCTCCCAATTATGTCCCTTTACATCACTGTAAAAGGACTGTAAATGGCAACCCACCTTACCTCTCCCGCACTCCAAAACAACCTTTGGAGGCCACATGTTAGAGATGTATTCTGCAGCCACTGTATGGGAAGAAGGGAGTTTCTGAGCACAGTGTGCACATTTCAGGATTTTATTGCAGGTTGCAGTGGTTGTTGCAATGCACTGTGTTATACAGATCATGTACTTATTGTGCATGAGGATTATCACTTTTGAAGCTACAGTCCCAGAAACGCCATCGGAGTTACCCTTAAGCCAGATATTTGATCATGTTTATTTACTTATTTTTTCATATCTACTGCATATGACACAAAAAGTGTTTATCTTGAACTGGTCGACTTTCTGTCTAAATCTTTCAAAAACTGAACTTCTTTCTACCTTCTAACACATCTACACCATTGTTGATCTCTCAGGTCAATGGAACACCTATTACCCCATCATGTAACTTCCATATTAAGCACACCATTTATCGAACTCACTGAACTACTAAGGCATTTGGTCTTGTGCTTATCATTTCCCACTTTAAGCATCGCAACTTACTATGGCCTTTCCAATTTCCGCATTGCTCCACTACAATCAGAAATTAATGCTTTCACCAAGCTTTTTTTCCTGACTTACTGCTACTCTTGCACATCATCTATTTTACAGTCCTTCCCCTACCTATTAAGGGTCAAAATTAGGTCTCTGACACACTAACAATTACAACCCTTACATGCTCAAATTAAATATTAGATTAAGAGCCCTCAGAAGGCATAACTGATTCAGTTATCTGAAGGAGCTGTTTGAGGTTCAGATTATTGTCCTTGTGACTACTCTATCTTCCCTTCGTGACTACTCTATTGTACAATATGTGCAGTAGACCCCAAGTGATAAGTAATCATGAGCTCATGGCCTGAGTGGAGAATGAGCCCTACATAAGGCAACAGAGGCACTTTGGCTATTTTTTCTCATCTCAAAAACAGTCACTACTTGGTGCCAGATACCTCAGGCTCCTGTTCAGTAAGTGATGTTTACCTTACATTCTGTCAAAGGCTCATGGCTTCATTAATTAGAATAAATGCCAATAAAAGCATAAAAAGCAGTGTTTTGCTTGAAATGTGTGATATGTCCTACATGAACATTCAGACGTTCCTGCCCAGTCTTATATATAAGGTATTTCAGTTTATAGTATATGGATGTAGAGTAAGCAGAGGTGGATGTGAAGAAAATGATGTCTTCTATTAGTAATATAACACCTTAACTGTTTTCAAAAATGTAGATTTCAGCAAACCAAAGGAGTGACTTTTTGTTGTATGTGAACACATATTTTTGCACCAATCGCCAAGATTTTGAACTTGGAAATAAGAGCAGAATTTGACCCAAATCCATGGGTCTATTTGGCAGTGTGGCATATACGTTTAAATTAGAAATAGGTTTCTTTTACCAGTAATTGATATCACTAGCTACCTACAATCAACTTTACGTTGTGTCTGTTAAAGACCAAACACACCAAATAAGCTTTTGTATTGTGTGGTTCATCTTTCTTTCCTGATTTTTTCCTAGCCTTTTGAGACGTGTCCTGATCATTATTTTCTTTCACCTGTTAAATCCAGATTTTGTTCCCCCATCCTGATTTTGTTTTCTTCAAAAGATCAAAAATATATTTGTTGAAAGCCGAATGTTCTTTAATGCTGTAGAAGCTCACAATTGAAACCACTCACCAGCCAGAAGCCCATAAAGGATTCTCGGAAATAGAAGATTATAGCTGTGAGTGAAGTACCCAGTGCCTCTCTCGTCAGCATGGGGTGGCAGTAGTGAAAATTCAGCTCATTATTTATAAGGATTTTATTGTGTACAACCCAACAGCGATTAAAGCGTTGTGTTCCATTCCTTTTGCTTTAATGCAGTGCTTTTTTCAGAGTTAGAAATATGTTCTGGCCCTTGCTGTTAGCTTTTAGAAACTCTGATTAAATATTTAACAGCTACCTGGGACTTTGTTGTTGAATCTGATATTTAAAGGGATACTATTTTCTATTTAAACACCCTTTTCTTTAGTGGCAATGCATGGCATGCTGAGAACTTTCACATCTAAATCTGTATCTGAGTCAACAATTTTTCTAGGAGAAAAGGTGCAATTGTTAAATTTTGGAATTTTAGCTCTTGCAGCAGTTTTGTATATTTGTATAAGACTAATACTCCCCCTGACACTTTTTAGTAACCATTTGTTAAGCAATTTCAGTTAACTACGTCCTTCTGTTGCCTTTACCTCTTTACCCGATTTCAGCAACTCTTTCAGTTTCATGTCCTCCCTAAGAAATAAGAATAATATTAGGTCTTATAATCCTTTTCTCTTTGAGTTTGTGAAGTAGCTTTGTATAATCATATGAAACTATTTAAGAAAATCCCAAATCCACTTCAAACCTCTGATTTATAGTAATAAACAAATTCCCATAAAATACATACCTCCTATGTATGCCGGATCTAGTGGGAGACAGTTTTTAATTTTGAACCCATACTCCCAGGTTGTCCTTCTTGTGGGAAACTTACTGGGGACATCAGAACAACTCTTTTAAAACTGCAGTTCCAGTGCACCATTGAACAGCCCCATAGCTATGCAAGAACCCTTGCGGCAGGCACCTGCTACTCAACTGTGGGCAGACTCCTGGTTGAACGGTTAACCTCTAGTATGTGTCAACTAGCCATGTGTACAACATTATGAATGTTAGATTTTTATGACATGTAGAAATTAAATGTTATATTTTTTGTTTGATTGATTTCTCTGTTAGACCACATTGGTTTTAATTTAACTGATCAGCCTTTTATTCATTGAAGTCCGAATTCCCTCGGTCGAAATGGTGCATAGCCATTCCTTTTGCGTATGGGGACTATCAAATCAAGGCATTGTTCACAACTTTTAACAATGTGTGGATTTGGCAAAATGAGCTCCCAGTGTTATTGACATGGGTCTGGATATCAGCCTGACTGAATGTTTGAAATGCTGATCTGAATTTTAAAATACAGGCCTGGATTGGTGAAACAAAAACCTCGGCAGTGTGAAGGTTAAGTATATGGCAGTCGGCCAGCGTTTGCTAGACAGCTGTCACAAAACATTGAAATAAATACTCACTGGGGTCGATATAACCCAGGATTTAAGCCTCATCCTTTCCCCCTTGCCTAACATAATACAGGTGGAGCCATATTAATTGAACAGTGAGCATTTAACATCTTAGATATATATATATTTTATGCAACTTTTAATTTGCATCTTATTTTATATAAATGTGGTCCTATTTCCACTGTGTATACCTCTTGGCATTTCAGCAGTACCCCAATTTTTTATGTGTGTACTTCCATATTACAATATATTCCATGTATGTAAGGTTTTTTTATGCCATTTTCCTTTAAGAAAGCAATACACTCAGGCACACATTATTCGATTTCTTTTCACCACTGTCCACACTTATTCTTTTAGCATCATTAAACTCGGACACATACACAGCTCCCTGCAGGGAACCCTTGAGCCTTGTTCTACTTGTATCCATAACTGTTTATTTATCATCGGCTCCCACCACAGTTTTTACTGGTAAAGTAGAAAGAGTCATAAGTGGATCAGAGTGATGAAAAACACAGCTAGCGCTCAGGGTTATTTTTAGCCTTTAGTTCATGCACACATTACAAGGTTAGCAGCCTGATGACAGAACACACAATTTAAAGGGACTTACTGGCTCTTGTTAATGTAGCAACCCAGTATTTCTCTGTCACAGTAAAAAAAATCTGTTTTTCTTGGCTGATACACTTATCTTTTATCCTTACTGATAGCCTTGAGTGTTTATTCCAAAAACAGCTCCTCTTTAACAGCTGCCATTTTATAAATATCTCCTACAGATAGGGGAGGTATCCTAAAAATATAAAACCTTGGACTAAATGCCATAAAACATGCTGAAAAAGATAAGCATGTTACAATCCATGTTTTGTTTTAATGATTGATTTCTTTCCTATTCTGAACTTCCATTTGTGTTTAACCCTTTCACTACCAAGGAACACACAAGGAACCAACAGATGTTTGCATTTTACAACTCTTGACCAAAATAATTATCATTTGTACATGCATATTTTAAATAGGCTTTTCAATAATCTGCCCCCCCTCCCCCCCACAATTCTTTTGCGGAATTCTGCTTCTTAATCTCACCTACACTTTCTTACATGCACATTCTTAAATACTTATTGATATGTTTCCTAAGTATGTGAAATCTCTACTCATTAAGCCCACCCTTTCTGTCTCTCCGTCATAGCTTACCTCCATTAATGCAATTTCAGATCTCACGAGCAAAGTTTTCATGGAGGTGTAATTCAGTACCCTCCAAACAAATGGCCCCTATTAATTCCTACACTCAAAGCGGTGGGATGGAGGATAATAATATTGTTAAATGAGGTAGGGGGCTTCCAAAGCTCCCACTACCGGGCTAGAATATGCCAGCCCCTCTGGTATACGGCTTTCATAGTCAACCATACCAGGGGACCACAGGCCAAGTTATCCTTTCCCATGGGGGCCACAGACGCGCACACACACAAAGGGCTTGTGCTCAATGCCTTCCTCACTCATGACTCCAGTTGTTGCATGTCTCCCACATCTGTTTTTAGCTAGGCTAGGCAGAGAGAGAGATAGACAAAGTTGATCCATTTTGTTCTAACTAGCTGGCCAGTCTCCTCATGCACAACCCTATAGCGGCTCTGGCCAACAGCATTCTGGGACATAGGCATGCCTGGTCAGGTGGCTGCAGGCTGCGTTATAATACTTATGGGTCTAGAAATAACCCATGGGCCGGCGCTTTGAGACCCCTGTTGCAGTGTATTTTTTAAGACCATATATATGCAGGGTTTACTGTGATAAGCTCAACGGGCAAACTACATATACCATGGATCTTTTAACTGGCTTCCAAGTGTAACAAAATGTTTACCTTTATTTTTAATGTGTTTAGTACATGGACCTGATTGTTTCTAGCAAGCGAAGTGAAGAACTAATACTCTTAATTGAAACATGAATTTGATCGCATTTTCCATTACAAAATAAGGTTTTAAGTAGCACTTTTTTTGATTTGATTTTTTATATTTATGGTAAATTTACTGCAACAATCAAAAGTAGTGGATATAAAATGCAGACACACAGAGAGGACACACATTTTGTATTATTTCCCATAGGTTATGTGTTAATGGCTTCAGTCATTTTTAAGATATATTTTTTAACACATTTAAACTTACATTTTCTATCTCCGATAGATGCTATGTGTAATTCCTTTCATCCACTTGATCTACTGAATTAATGCTAACTTCACATCTTTTTAACTCTGTTATCTGATTGGTTCATTAAAGTATGTGAACGTGGTATGCTATTTTTTCTTCTTGTCCCCAAATAAATTTTTGTATATTTTTTTTTATCTTACATTCATTTGTGTATCTATCTAGGGCTGATCAGGGACAAGTGATATCACATCTTGTGATTCTACCAGTCTCCATGTACCAAACCCATCCACACAGAGGTCCATCAGTAATCTGTGGGAAAAAAGTCTCTTTTTTGCCCATTGGCAAGACGTTTCCAACCCTCCCATGCTCCGATGGCATATTCACCACATATATGTGGCCAGACGAGACAGCCCATGCCTTGTCAGACAGAATAAAATCATATTTTTGACTCCATTGCCAAGTAAGCACTCACTTTATCAAAACGTCCTCATTGGTGTGGCGCATGAGGTTAACATACATAAAAGACAAAGTCGGGATGGACGTTTGGTTTAGAAACATGGAAGGCTTATTTGCATGGCGACTTTATGTAGTAAATATATATTTTTTCAGCTTATAGCTGGGTTTAAAAATTATAATTTTACTAATGGATCCTCGTAGATTACTTAAGTCAATTTATAATTCAATTTCAAACATTCTCAATATAATATATTTTATATATAATTCTCTATAATTCTCTTATAATGCAAAGGGACAAAATGGCCTCCAAACAGATACAGATACTTTATGTCAACCTCCACAGATGTGAGTTCTGTTACACAAAGATTTTTAAGTATTGCACTGAGCCATTAAGCCATGCTTGAATTATATGTTCCTGTGTGTAATTGCCTTGCCAGAGACTAGAGAATTGGATTCTGGTGCTGGTAAAAAAAACATTTAAAATTTCAGGGTTTGAAAGACCCTTGTAATGTCAAAAGGAATTAGATCATTCGCAACGAGCCAGAGTTTAACACAAGGCATAATTGGCATACAGATTCCTTGTTTTAATACTGGTAACATTATACAGTGTGACATTTTCTTCAGTGTCATCTATTGTATGAACAGTTATATGTAATTACCATTAGAATTGCAGATAAGAGGACATATATGCCAAAATTATGAGGAGATGTGGGAACAATGATTACAAAACCTGGTCAAATAAAAAAAACGAGTATATTAATCTCACAAATGTAGCATTTGAATGTCAAGAGGATGCAGATTGATCATTAAACTACTACCGACCACTCCTGAAGGTTTGGATTTCAATTTATGCAGCAATCGCTTCTGATATTAAGTGGTACATAGCTCAGCCTATTTGTGATTTGGGCAGAGCCAGATTACCTATTAGGTATCTACCTAGCGCCCGGGCTCAGAGAGGGACCCAGTGCGCCCCTGTCTTAGCTGGAACTCTGGCTGTCAACGGGTCATCCTCGAGCTGGCAGGGAGATCAAAAAATATCTTAAGCAAACCATAAAACAAATATTCTGAATATAATAGAGTACAGTAGTAACCTCCCTTTTGGTGAAGCCGCCAGGAGCTGAAAATGATGAAGATGATGGTAACAGGGAAATAGAGTTTCAAGTAGTTGTGTCTACCCTACGCCTCTCATTGCAAGTGCCCCCATGGTGATAGATATGTAATCTTGAAGAAAGGGTTACAAAAATGCAAGCTCACTAAAGGAACAGCTTTGCTATTCCATCATCACCCATGTGATTCACAAGTTATGGATATCAGTTCGGGATGCCTACTTTGTCCCAGAGCTGTCATAGCAAGTTTTGTAAGCATCTGACATCTACAGTTCACAGCCACCCCGAATCCATCCCTACACAGTCTCTGTGAGGTGGATGATTAAACTGTTCAAAGACACCAAATATGGGGTGGTTATTCAGGTTGACAGGATTCTCATTGTCAAAACTACTGTAAAAGCATAGACTACAAAGACCCTTAATTGAGAGAATCACAGAAAGAGAAATACAGTGAAAGTCACTATTTTTGTATATCCTAGAGCAGAGGTAGGCAACCTTTTAGCAGCACTGTGCCGATATAGGATTGTGATGTCCCGTAGCGTGCCGGTCCTATTTTTTTTTTTTTTTAAATTGAAGTGTGTATGCTGCCAAATTCTGCATGTGTTATTTATACTGTAATTGCTTTGTATCGTTGTATTTGTGCGTATATGAGCTATTATATTGTATATGTTCATGAGTAGATTGTGGTATCGTGTATGATACATATAAATGTGGGCTGTGTATGGGGGCAGCTTGTGGAATTGTGTGTGTGGATGGATGTCACACTGTGTGTTTAGTAGTGTGTGTATGTGTGGGGGCTGTTTGGGGTATTGCATGTGAGAGGCTGTATGTGGGGTTGTGTGCATATATGTGGATTGTTAGTGGTGTTGCGTTTGTGCGGATTGTGTGTATGTTTGTGCGGATTGTGTGTATGTTTGTGTGTGGACTGTCCATATTATTTGTATGAGGGGAGGGTCTTTCTGCATTTCTGTGTATATCTAGCAGTGTGGGTGTCTCCCCTGGGTTCCAGTGGGGACCATGTTGGCCAGGTACAGATCAAGGACCAGAGCTGCAACAACAACTGCGAGCTGCTACTGTGTGGATTCCCATTCACAAGTGCTGGAATGAAGTGCTCTGAGATCACTTCCTCTACATGCTGCAATGCATAAATTGAGGATTGTCCTTCACTGCCTCTTTGTATTAGCAGATATCTGAGGTTTTACTGGGACTCCTGATAGGCCGGAGCCTGTTTGGCTCTAGCAGCCTTGAGCGCCGTGGAAAGACACCTCGAGTGCTGTGCATGGCACTAGTGCCGTAGGTTGCCTACCCCTGTCCTAGAGGGTTGCTTACCCCTATCTTAGAGCCTTGGGAGATGTCAGAGACTCTTGTGAGACACACATGCTACTGTGTAAAAGAACGCATTAGCATGTGTGGCTTCAAACCTCCCCTATTCAGAGATGCAAGTTGCCTAGTTGGAGGAGGCTGTACAGCTTCTATCAAATGTTAAATAACATTTCATCTCTACAATTGGTAGCATTTTGACCAGATCAACTTAAACAAGAAATTGTGTTCACTATAAGATGATACTGAGTCATGGCCCTCATGCTGTTTTTGTATTCAGCGCAACTAAATAACATGACTATAGGAATGTAAAATATTTAACAAAATCTTTAAAGAAATATGTACTTTGAATTCTGGTATTTATAATAGGTATCTAGTTATATAGTAACACTTTTCTAGATACTATCTTATTAAATAGTATTCCTGGTGAGGGCAGCAAAGTTCTGTTTGTTTCCCTTACTTTACTTTTTGGGCTTAAATGAAGTACAGTATATGGTATCATGCAATTACTGTATTGTGAGTTAAAGGGAAACTCCACAATAGATTTAACCATTCATTTCATATACGTTGCAAAAATAATGCATTCAAATTACAAAAAAAAATGGTTTCTTTTTTAAATACAAAAACATTAAATGAAAATACATTTTCATTTGGATTTATTGCATTTGCTGCAAATGCTCAGGCTGCCCAGCTTCTACTACAGTGATGGCTATCCTTGACACCATAAATAGTTTCTGGGCTACATTTCCCATGATGCTCAGCTAGCTTTAAGACTCTAAAAGCTAGCTGAGCATCATGGGAAATATAGTCCAGAAACAATTTATGGTGTCAAGGTTAGCCATCACTGTTCTACTACAAGCTCTCATCAAACCAGGCAGTGACTCAGCCAAGCTCAATAAGCTTTTCAAACGATTGCTGAGATTGTCTCAAAAGCAGTGCTTGATGGACGTAGCAAGGGTTTCTGTTTAGTTGTCAACTTTGAATTGTAGAAAGTACACACAGTATTTTTGGAGCAAAATGGAAAACACTGCACATTGGGAAGAAGGGCAGGAGTTGTTATATTTAAGAATATTTATTAAAACCTGAACAGAGTGTAGCCAGGGTTGGAGTTGTTCTGTGAAATTTTAGGTGACTTAAGTGAGTTCTAGACACTCTTATTATAGTTTAAACACATATCACTGTGAATATTATTGCTGTGGAGCTCTGTTATACTCTCAGACACACCAACAATATGGAGCTCCTAGAAAGAAGTGGCATTAGAATAGAAAGGGGGGACAAAGGGATTTGGGCCTAAATAGAGACACTATGGTGGTATGTTTTACCATTTAGTTTAACCTTGAAAGGCATGCAAGACTAAATACGTTGTGGGACTCGAGCTACACTTACGTTTCCTTCATTCCTACGTGTCTTTGCAGTTGCATTTTACACGTCTGCCTATTTAATTAATACACACTACACAGAAGGTAATTCATTTTATTTTTCAGGCATATATGGCGTTGTTCCTCAGGTTTATGCTTATGGCCATTCACCTATGTCACATATTATGAACTGAAGAGATCAGTAAACATTGGCATTCAGCTGGATCTTACATGTGAAGCCCATGGAGAAAGCGAAGCTTAGGGAATAGGGCCCTGACAGGGCTAGGAGGCAGCATAGGGGTTGGAGCAATAGTGTGGATTGGTGGGTTAGGCTGATATAAAGGGTCGGCCATTTTGTATCCCTTATTCTAATTTCTTACCTTGCAGAGTTGGTCCCTCCCCTTTTTGTAGCCCTTTTCCCCGTTTGGTCACAGCGCCGGGTGGGGTAAGGAACATTAAGGAAAAAATGGGCCTTAGTTAATATAGGAGTAAGGGCAGTTAGTTAATTGGTTAAAAGAGTACACTGTTCGTACAAGTTTTGGTATGTTTCGAGTCCATTGGTGGCTCAGAACCTCGGTGGTGTAAGAGTATCTGAGTAAACCCCTACCAGGTGAAATTGATGAATGTTGGCACTTTACATGTTATATTTATATGGTTGTTATATATTGTGAATTATGTTATGTTGTGGGTCATTGCCTTGATTTAAATATGGGAGAGATAATATAATGTTGGGGGTGTGGCAGGTAATGACATTTATATAATTGTATATTATAAGTTATTATTTTTTTATTATCATTAAAGCTGTTGACATTTTTGACCCATGCCCATGAGTGTCGGTGTCTTATTGGGTGGAGTGGGCTGGGTTCAGGTTCATGGATCCCTCCCCTGCAAATATGGCGACTATGCACCTGTCATGAGGTTAAGTCTGCAACAAATGCATGTAGCATTATATTGTCTCTGATATAACATTGGTGCTGTTAATATGATCTCAACTATCTGTGCTATAGTGTGGTAAAATGGTAAAAGTGCGCAGTACAAGGTAGTACTACTGAGCAGGCTGCATGCGAATACAGTAGTTCTTACCAACACTCCACATGCATGTGACGTACCTACAGATTTATTCTAACACCATTTATTAACATATGGTAATGTATCTATGCTGTGATGAGTAATTTGCGCTTGGTTGGGAGCAAAATAGAACACATCCTGGCATTTATAATATTTTCCTACACGCCATCTGAAAAAGTATCCCTACAGAACCTTGGATTTGAACTATGGCAGCATAACCTATACATGAACCTATATAGTGTTTGGAATGTCCTGCCTTCCTTGTACTGCAACAAATTACCTCTTTATTCTTGAAGATAGTTCTTAACGTCTTTGGTGTTAAGTGCTGGTGCCATTTGCTCATAATTATGGGCTAATTTAATTTGTCTTAATTTCAGTGCATCACAGTTTATCTCATCTTAAATGTGTCTCTAATTTGTCTTTAAATGTAATGAATGTTAGTTTAAGAAAATTATCCCAATTGACCCAGTTTGGTCTAATTAGCTGCTTTAAAAATATATAGCTAATGTGTATATTTATAATTTCGATGTTGTGCCAATGAAACTTCAGTTAAATGTTATACTTTAGATTATTTATGGCCACAGGAAACTCTTCACATCTATTTCTGGTAGGCATGTGTGTCCCGAAGGCCACTTGGAACAAGAAATGTAACCATATGTATACAATATAGAATTAAGTTTTATCTTTGCACTTGATAACTGCTTAAATCATAAAATTAATGGATTGGATTTAAAGGACAACAAAATGTTAAAATGCGTTGATGGTTGGGGGTAAGTGTAAGTGGGAAACAAATGTATAATGGTCTGAAGCCAGGATGACCCAATAATACAGTTTGTTTTTAATTTTCTTCTAGTTTATGGACACAACATGAAAAGCAGCAATGACTTTATTGGAAGAATAGTGATTGGTCAGTATTCATCAGGTTCCCCCGAAACCAACCATTGGCGACGGATGCTGAGTGCTCATCGGACAGCGGTTGAGCAGTGGCACAGCCTGAGGTCTCGGGCTGAGTGTGACAGAGTGTCCCCTGCCTCATTGGAAGCAACGTGAAAGCCAAATGAGTGATGTCACAACCGTTACGCAAAATAACCACCGTGGCATTCGGAACAACTTGAGCTGCTTGTAATTATTTAGCAGCATAAGCCTATGTGCCTCGGTATATAATCATGAAGATGCAACTCATCTGTTACATGTTCATCGTATCAGTTAGTTTTGATGATGTTGGACATGCTGATTAATATTATTACCATCATGGCCAGCCTTGCGCACCCATTCACACATTCATTCAATGTCTTATAATGTACGCCAGTGTTTCAGTGAATGTAACTCAATTTCACATTGTGAATTGACTTAAAGGAAAATTACAGATCAACACCAAGTGTGGTCTTATACAAAAGAGTATTTTTTAACATTTACAATATGTTACTAAGATGTACATAGCTTGCTTGAATGTTAAATATTTGCAATAGAATGTGCAGTTTTCAAAAGAAATGGGGGGATAATTTCCTTTGTCTTCAACAGTCAGTTTAACAGACTTGGCGATTGCAGAGATCTTACTGGAGATCATGATATAGAAATGTTTACGTACAAAATGATCACAAATGATGCATTCTAATTCATATTGGCAAAACCTGTAAATTAAGCTTTGAGTTTATTTTACATACCAGCTAGATGATTGTTCAGCTCTAGATACGCTTTTGAATATCCCTGCCTCCCACAAGTCCACTACACATTCCACTTTGAAGAATATATTGATACCTGTGTGCTAATTTGTCAGTGTGCTAAAACAAGTATAAGATCTATAAAAAAAACAACAACATTAATTCTACAGTATGCGACATATTTATAAAATGCAGTTTTGTCCTCGTACGAGTTAAGTACCTGTTAATATATGTGTGTGCAAGTATGTTTGTGCAAGTCTGTATATATAATTACCTAAATTTATAAATATAAATATATACATATATGTTTCTACAGTACAAAATACAAAACCATATTTATAGATATTGATAGATAAAATATATTAATATACAAAATTACATATATATAATAAATGTTTAAATATCTCATGTAATTATGAGTTCCTGCAAAATGCAGTCAAAAGGTTGGTATTAAACACTTTTTTGCGGCTGGGAACTCAGAATGTTCTTTCCACACTGGCAACAATTTTAGTGCATTGACACCTTTATCAATGGTGTTCACTGCTATTTAAATGAGTAACGGACCTTAAACAATGATGATCGTGCCCTTAAATACTATGGATCACCTGCATAAACTGCACAATATTTCTGTACATTTCAGTAGGAGCCTATAAAAACTGCAAAATAAGTCTGTACATTTCACAAGAAAATGTGTAGTCTAAGGATGTATATTTATTAAAAATAAATATATATTTATTTGTGCCATTAATATCCTGTGTGCTTACTGTACTACAAGGGCCGTGTGTGTGTTTTGTGTGTGTTGCTTTCCGAATGGTAGAACCGAGATTCAAAGATAAATATGAGTAAGAAACGGTTTTAAAGGCCAAAGGTGAAAAAGAGCTTTAAACAGTGTAAAATTATCAAGGGGTAGAGTAGTAAACCTAAAGGAGCAGGACATGATATAGAATCTACAGTCATAGCCAAGGGACAGGCAGCAAGGGTTCAGGGTTGGTGGATGTACCCAGAGAATTGGGATGATAGTACATTTTCAGAGTCAGGTAACAGAGATAATGGGTGTGGACATTATAGAGTGTAGCAGTATGAAAAGCCACAATCCATTACTGAATTATAGACAGGGGCATGGATACGGGCTAGATATCTGTAACAAATGCGCACTGAAGAACCAATCAGTATTTTATAGCTGGAAGATGACGGGGTGGATGGATAGCTTAATCTGTATGGGTTTATATCACAATATTGATGGAAAGACAGTGTGCAAGATTATGGTGCATTTTATCACATGCACACAGGAATGACGCTGAGTGTGTGTGTGTGTTACTATTAGCATGACTGACAGTTTTGGGATACACAGGGTACAGGATTTCGTAATCCTGGCTTCACGTTATTACAGCAAAGTGATGCCTGTTTGGGACACAGGGTGATTGTATAGGATGACTGTATTGTTAAATGATTGATCTGGGTGGCACTGGTTATTATGTTTGCTATATAAGCCTGCTTTAAATTCCTGCATGTGCCAGGTAGGTTTCAGTGTTATAGTTAAAGGAAAAATGTTGTATATACACTGAACAAAATTATAAATGCAACACTTTTGTTTTTGCCCCCATTTTTCATGAGCTGAACTCACAGACCTAAGACTTTTTCTATGTACACAAAAGGCCTATTTCGCTCAAATATTGTTCACAAATGTGTCTAAATCTGTGCTAGTGAGCACCTCTCCTTTGCCGAGATAATCCATCCACCTCACAGGTGTGGCATATCAAGATGCTGATTAGACAGCATGATGATTGCACAGGTGTGCCTTAGGCTGGCCACAATAAAAAGCCACTCTAAAATGTGCAGTTGTATCACACAGCACAATGCCACAGCTGTCGCAAGTTTTGAGGGAGCGTGCAATTAGCATGCTGACTGCAGGAATGTCCACCAGAGCTGCTGCCTGTAAATTGAATGTTCATTTCTTTACCATAAGCTGTCTCCAAAAGCATTTCAGAGAATTTGGCAGTACATCCAATCGGCCTCACAACCGCAGACCACGTGTAACCACACCAGCCCAGGACCTCCACATCCAGCATCTTCACCTCCAATATCATCTGAGACCAGCCACCCGGACAGCTGCTGCAACAATCGGTTTACATAACAAAAAATGTCTGCACAAACTGTCAGAAACCATTTAAGGGAAGCTCATCTGCATGCTCATCATCCTCATCGTGGTCTTAACCTGACTGCAGATCGCCGTTGTGACCGACTTGGGTGGGCAAATGCTCACATTATATGGTGCCTGGCACTTTGGAGAGGTGTTTTCTTCACGGATGAATCCCGGTTTCACTGTACAGGGCAGATGGCAGACAGCGTGTATGGAGTCGTGTGAGTGAGCGGTTTGCTGATGTTGTGGATCGAGTGGCCCATGGTCGCGGTTGGGTTATCGTATGGGTAGGAGTATGTTATGGACAATGAACACAGGTGCATTTTATTGATAGCATTTTGAATGCATAAAGATACCGTGATGAGATCCTGAAGCACATTGTTGTGCCATTCATCCACGACCATCACCTCATGTTTCAGCATGATAAAGAAGAGGAGTGGACCAACATTCCACAGGTCACAATCAACAACCTTATCAACTCTATGCGAAGGAGATGTGTTGCACTGCTTGAGGCAAATGGTGGTCAGACCAGACACTGACTGGTTTTTCAGACCCCTCGGACCCTTCCAATACAGTAAAACTGCACATTTTAGAATGGCCTTTTATTGTGTCCAGTCTAAGGCACACCTGTGGAATAATCATGCTGTCTAATCAGCATCTTGATATGCCACACCTGTAAGGTGGATGGATTATCTCGGCAAAGGAGAAGTGCTCACTAACAGAGATTTAGACAGATTTGTGAACAATATTTGAGAGAAAAAGGCCTTTACTGTACATAGAATTTTTTTTAGATCTTTGAGTTCAGCTCATGAAAAATGGGGTGAAAAACAAAAGTGTTGCGTTTATAATTGTAGATTATGCTAACGTAGTGTACCTATAATCTTAATTTTAATAATGACAGGAGGCGAGTATTTTGCATAACTTTCTTTACTTATGCCTCCAGCAGCACAAGACAATCAATCAAAAACTTTAAACCAATCATAGGCCAGCATAGCCTGTATATAAGTCCTTGATGGGCGTGTCTATTCCTCTTTCTTTGGTGTGTTAAATCCTGTAACGTCAGGGGTAGGATGAAACATCTAAAACTTGAACACTCCTAACTTGAACAACCGTAACTTGGATCGAAACTTGAAGAGGTCCTGTTAATCCGACTCCCGAAGATAGGTGAAAGGTGGCGGAAAATAACTATTGTCCACATATAAACTTATAGATATGTCTCTAATTATTCAATATACTGCTGAAAGTGACTATTCTATAGAGATACATACTATGTCTCCTAATTGCAACTAAAGTACATTCTGCCTACGATACCATCTTAATTAATATGCAGGTTATTGTCTACAATGCCATATCTATAAATATATACCAATTATGAACTGTCATCGATAGACGTCCCACCATACCAATAGCAATAATATAATGTTAACGTGCTAATAATAATTATAAACATGATGGAAATCTGCGAGTAAATAGGGAGGGACAACCCAAGACCTATGGGAGGGAAAATACTCGCCTGTCATTATTAAAATTAAGATTATAGGTACACTACGTTAGCATAATCTACAATTTTACCACATGACAGGAGGCTTCCTATTTTGCATTTTTAACGCTGCGGTAACAACGAAAAAGATGCGTGTGATGTCTGTCGGAAATAGAAAACCCTGAAGGTATTTTCTCTAGGCCAGTCCGCTGAGCGCAAAATATCCGCTAGCGATGCCCCCGCCAAATATGCACATGAAGCCGACACTCCGCGTATCGAGTGGGCCCCGAAAACCGACTCTACACCTGCCAGGGATAAGAGCCAATGTACCCATCTAGCCAACGTGGTTGTAGTTACAGGTTTGTATGGCTTAGTATATGATACCAGTAGCTGACCCAATCTAGAAAACCAGAGAGAATCAGTTACTTCTACATACCATAGAAGTGTGTTCATGGCGCATAGACGAGGAACCATCGGAAAAAAGGGATAGGACACAGATGTAGAGTCCGTCTTGGACCTGCGAGACACCGTGAATGTAACTCCTTCTGGTGTGATAGTAAAACCGTCCACGTTGAAGGCTCTAACGTCTGAGACTCGTCGAAACGAAACTAAACATAGTAGAAGTGTCAGTTTGGCTGTTAATTGTGAGATAAGGCCGCATTGTCAGGCCAGTTTTGAAGAAATCGGATAACCAAATCCACATCCCATAGACTGTTATACTTCGGGGCCGGAGGTCTGGACAGTCTGATGCACCGAAGTAGATTGCATATCAAAGCATTCTGACCCACTGGTGTTCCGTTTATCGGGGTGTGAGCTGCCGAGATGGCGGATCGAGTAACATTAATAGAACAGTATGCTCTCCCTTCGGAGAATAGACTGGACAGAAAATTTAGTACATAGGAAATAGGTGCTGTAAAGGGATCGAGATCCCTTTCTATGTACCAGCGATTCCATGTATTCCATGCTGATAAGTAGCTGCGTCTAGTGCCAGGTGCCCATGAGTCCCATAGTAGGTCTCTAGTTGTCTGCGATAGGGCTGAGACGTTCCAGTATCCCTGGAAAGACTCCAGGCCACTAGTTCCAGCTGTTCCTGTGTTATTTAGTGGGTGAGGTTCCCCTTCCAGGTTTGTTAGGAGGAGTGGGAACACTGGTAAGACTAGTGGATGGTCTTGTCACAGTGCTAGTAGGTCTGGGAATCATGCTTGGCTCTTCCACAATGGTGCGACCAGTATCAACGATGTCCTTGATCCGCGTAGGTGATGAAGGACTCTTACCAGCATTGAGAATAGCGGGAATGCATACGCACCTTTCGATGGCCATTGTTGTAAGAACGCGTCCACCTCTTCGCTCTGTGGGTACGGGAGCCAACTGTAATACCTCGGTAGTTGTGTGTTCGTCCGTGATGCGAAGAGGTCTATGTGTAGGGGACCTCTTACCGTTCTCACCCTGTTGAATATGGCGGTGTCTAGGTGCCAATCGTTGCTGTCTCTACAATGTTGAGAGAAGCAGTCCGCCGTGAGATTGCTGACTCCAGGTAGATATTCTGCCCTGATCGTGATGTTGCGGGGAAGACAAAACTGATAGATGTCCCTCGTCGCTTCTGTTAGGGCTCGCGACCTGGCTCCGTCTAGATAGTTTATGTACTGGACTGCTGATATGTTGTCCATGCGTAAGAGTATGCAGCAGTTGGACATGTGTTTGGCCAAACTGCGTATCACAAAGGAGTCTGCTATCAATTCCAGGCAATTGATGTGTAGGAGTTTTTCTTCCTCTGACCACGGGCCTCCCGTGGATGCCTGCGTGCAGTGGGCTCCCTAGCCCCATAGGCTGGCATCCGATTCTAGAACAAAGTCCGGGTTTGGTCCGAATATGGCTCTGCCGTTCCAGGCCTCCATGTGGAGGAGCCACCAGCGGAGTTCTGTCCGCACTTCTTCTGACACTGGAATCCAGTGGTCGTATGTACGCCCCTGTCTTAAATGGTGAGCCTTCGCCCCTTGCATGGCCCGGTAATGGAGTGGTCCCGGGAAGATCGCTTGTATGGAAGATGATAATAGAGCTACCATTTTGGCCAGAAGGCAGAGTGGTGTTGAGTCTTTTTGGAGTACCTGGCGTATTTCCTTCCGTATTGTCGCAATGTTTGTCATGGGCAGTCGCAGGGTGCACGTTTTATTTCGAACCCCAGAAATTGCACAACCCTGGCTAGGTAGAGCGCAGATTTTTTTCTGTTTACGATGAAGCCCAATGATTCCAGTAATTGCACTATGAATTTTGTTTGAGATCGAAGCCTGGATACAGTCTCGCAGAATATCAGAATGTCGTCCAGGTATATTCGGCAACGGATGCCCTTTCCCCTCAGGTGTGCCATTACCGGCTTCATGAGTTTTGTGAAGCACCATGGTGCTGAGCTGAGGCCGAATGGGAGACAAGTGAATTGGCAAGTAAGGCTTTTCCAGGTGAAATGGAGGAAAGGTCGGCTGACGTGGGCTATCGGTACAGATAGATAGGCGTCTTTTAGGTCTAGCCGAGTGAACCAGTCGTGTTTTAGTAATAGGTCTCTGAGGAGGTGGATTCCTTCCATTTTGAAATGTCGGTAGGTAACGAATCCCTTCAGTTGTCGTAGGTTGATGACCGGTCTGTAGTCTCACGTCTTCTTTTGGACCACGAAGATGTTGCTGAAGAAGCCCGTATCATCCGGAGCGATTTCCACCGCCCCTTTGTCGAACAGGGCCTGGATCTGGTTGTCTATGAGTTCGGTGTGCAGTGCCGACGCTCTTATTGGTTATGGGCGACGGTTCTGCACTGGGGTGTCTGAGAACTTGATCTTGTAGCCCGCTAATGTTTGTAGGACCCAGTTGTCCGAGGATATCTTTCCCCATTCCTGTGAAAAGAGAGACAGTCTGCCTGCAGTCATATGAGAGTGTGAAAACATCATGTTTGGAGTGCTCACCTGTATTGAAGCGTCTGCTGGTGCGGGTACCTCTGGGACGGGATGACCCTCGTGGGAAGTTGGTTCTTGAAGATGGGAAGAACACTTGAGGCATCTGGTTTCTGGGGCCTGTGGGCCAGAATCGGCTGGTGGCTCGACCCCTTTGGCGACCAGCCCTGCAAAAAAAACCATGGTGTGGTGTGGTGTTGAAAAATACTTGTTTGATGGACGTCTGTGCCTTATTCAGTGTAGTGAATAGGTTCACGTGCTTTTTTAGCTCTGTTATAAATGAGTCCCGAAGAGCTGGCCGTTCCCTAGTGGTCCCATCTCTTTCTTTCCCAGCTCCATTAGTTTGGGGTCCATTTTCAGCAACGCTGCCTTGCGACGTTCTGCGCACATTGCCGCGTTAGTGTTGCCCAGTATACAGATAGCCCGTTGCACCCTCGTATAACATGGGCGTCCAATGCGGCGCCCTGGGAGAGGGCTAGGTCAGCCAGGTATAGTATCTTGGCCAGAGGGCCTCGAATGTCCAGTTACTTGTCTTGAGATTCCTTCAGGCCCTTCTCTATACCTTTCCGCTGGTCTCGGCCCGCGCGGGACATGAACAGTAGCACGGTAGTGTCGAATTCTGGGGTCTGTGCAATTTTGTCCGGCAGTATGGGTCTTGGGCATTCTCCTCGCAGCCTTGCCCTCACTTCTTTTTCCATCGGTTTGCTTAGCCAAAAATTGATGAACTGGGCCAGATGTTCTGGCAAGGCCCATTCTGACGATCTTGGATGCCGGATTGTGCGGGAATCGAACATGGTTGCCCCTTGGGGGTCTATAAAGGTGCCCTCTTCTCGTTTGTCCCATGCATTATGGGAACTTTCCTGTCCGAAGTACGTGTCTTGGTCGTACTCAGTGTCATCCCTTGGGATGTCCTGCCACTCTTCGTCTTCCGATAGCGAAACCTCCGCTTTCCACTTGTCCATAATTTCAAGTGATGGCGGAGGGTTGTGGTCATCGTCCTCCAAGGACGGGGTGTGTGGAGGGGATGGTTCCTTTTCAACTGAGCTTTGCCTTTTAGTTTTTTGGTGCCTGAGCCGGCGCCCTTCCATTTCCGCTTTATTGCGGGGACTTCTCTGGAGAAGGCAGGCTCTTTCGTTTCCGTGGTTGTTTTGGTGACCGTGTCTGTTTTTGGGATCTGCACCAGTAGTTTGGCAATAGCCTTTTCCACTTAGGCGGCCACCGCCGAGTTTTTCATTGACTGTAAGTCAGATGGTGGTGATTGTGGTGAGTCACTTATCATGAGACAGTGGGGTAGTCTCTGTGTGAAAGACAGGAGAACGTCAGGTACCGAAGTACGTGAATATTAATACAGTAGGCTTCCACCTACGACTGGGGGTCACCCAGTGTTACTTGCCCTGAGTGGTTTGAGGAGGGGGTCACCCTCTGTGCGACCGGGATGAGTGGTCGTATAATTAGGCCGAACCCGTCAGGGGTGGAGGGCCTGTTTGATTAGGGGTCAAGTGGTTTGAGGAGGGGGTCACCCTCTGTGCGACCGGGATGAGCGGTCGTATAAATGGGCCGCACCCGTCCAGGGTGGAGGGCCTGTGTGATTTGGGGGTCACCCAATAAAGTTTGAATTGTGGAGCCTGTTTACTGCCAATTTTTTTCTCCCTCCTCGGTAAGGAGGTGTGTGGATCACCCCAGCCGTATTGTGGGTACCATGCATAGAGTCATGTATATATGATATAGCAGGGTGTTGAGCCTGCTTGCACTGCAACTCTTGAGCCTGTGGGGGTCGCCCCATATGGAGGGGGTCACCCCTGGGGATACACTGCACTGAGTGCAATATGGCTCCGCTTGGGGGTCACTCAGCGTAAGGGGGGTCACCCCTATAATAAGAATGGCAGTAGTGTGAGTGGGGGGTCACCCCTAAATGAGAGGTGTCACCTCTGTAGAACCACTCAGCAGCAGTGCAATGGTTAACCTATGTTACAGGTATGTTCTCAGCAATGTTCCAATGTAGGATGTTTGGAACTGGACTTTAAATATAACCAGTGAATGTTGAGCGGATCGTGTGAATCACGACCGCTAGGGGCGCAAATGGCCGTCATGGGTGCGAGATCCAAGATGGCCGCCGTACGCGCCAAAACGACAGCGCTGATCGTGATTGCGGCCCGCTGTCGTGGATTAGAGATGCACAGTAAGATATTGGAACAATAAAACCCTCAATCTCACATTCCCACCTCCCAGGGAACCCCTATGCAAACGCTGTGCCCCAAAGAAAAGCGCGCGGTCGCGGTAAAGTGCCGCGATCGCGGATAGGGCAGATAGATAGTAAGGAAGATGCAGTACAGGGTTGAGAGGATATTTAGAGGGTAGAGGGTGAAATAATAATTAAAGATATGGAAATCAATGTAATATTATGAACAGTAATTGATAGTAAACTCTGAGTGAATCACTCTCACCTGTGTCTGTCTGCAAGCAGCAAAGAATGAGGAATAGACACGCCCATCAAGGACTTATATACAGGCTATGCTGGCCTATGATTGGTTTAAAGTTTTTGATTGATTGTCTTGTGCTGCTGCAGGCATAAGTAAAGTAAGTTATGCAAAATAGGAAGCCGTCTGTCATGGAACTTGGTGGGATCTGCAGGTAAATTCCACTGTTTTCCATGGTGATTTGTTCCATGTTTCAACCGTGACCCACTCTTTTTTTTTTTTTTTATTCTTTATTTTGGTGTGCACATGAGTAACAGTAAACCTTAGTGCGCCACAATAGCATCATCATGGTTTGTTAATAAACATTTGCATTACAGGTTGTGGAATTTGATTATCAGGCACATTTTTTTTTGGGGGGGGGGTT